AGGTCTGGACTTGTTGTTCCTCCAAAAGGGGGGACTATGTGTTTGCTCTAGGGGAAGAATGTTGTTTTTACGCTGACCATACCGGAGTTGTTCGTGACTCCATGTCTCTAAACTTCGAAAGAGCCTGGAACAAAGAAAAGAGAAAAAGAGGCCGGGAAAGCTTGGTTCGAGTCTTGGTTTAACCAGTCCCCATGGTTGGCTACCCTTTTATCTGCATTGGCAGGGCCAATAATAATCATCCTATTACTTGTTACCATAGGACCCTGGATTCTAAACCGACTTATGACTTTTGTCAAAAGTCGAATTAATACTATCCAACTTCTGGTCCTCCGCCAACAATATCAGGCTCTTCATCCCCTTGAGAATGATTCCTCAATTTAGGCGTAAGAAAAAGGGGGAATGAAAGGAATAGGAGGTTCAGCGGGCCCCAACCCCCTTGTTGGAGAAACCAGTACCAAACATCCCCATGTAGATAAGATAAGCAATGCGGCAGGGCTCGTTAGGGCATATAGAATGTGGGAATGTGAGGGGGGTACATGCAAGATGTGAGTACGTGCAAGATGTGAGGTACGCGCAAGATGTGCTCTGCCTGCTTGCCCAATGTTGATAACAAAAATATGCACGCACCGCGGTCTATATAAGATTTCCCCTAAAGAGGCTCAGGGTCGTGTTTTTCCTAACCGGTCCTGGCATGCCGTGTGGGAGCTCGACCCTGGCTAGCCAGCCCAAATAACTACGCTTTTGTAAAGATTGCATTCACGCCTGGCTCTCTGTCTCTCGGGGGAATAGGATTCCGGGTCCTAACAGTGTTAGGTATGAATTTCTGTTCGTGATTGCTGCTGAGCCATGGTTTTATTTCCTATACAGGATGCTCTCTGGAGTTCAGTAATTATAAAGGGGTTGGGGTGTGGCGAAATGACAGAGCACTTGCTTAGCATGTGTGAGGCTCTGAGTGCTGGGGAGCACTGCAAAAATAAAGCGAAATAATAATTATAAAAAGTTCGCAGCTCTAATTGCTTTGAATGTTGCACTTCCCCTGTTCTCTTTTTCTGGAACTCCTTTTCCATATTGGACCTTCATGCCGTTTTATGCCTCTTTCACATTTCCCATCACTATTTTTATTAGATCTGTATCCCAACTAGTAATTCCTTCACTCACTGTACCTATTCTGTTTGTATATGTGTGGGGTGGGGGTTGTTTGTTTTGGGTTTTGGTGCTGCAGATTAAAACCAGGGTCTTATAAATGCTAGGCAAGTGCTCTATCACTGAGCTATACCTCCAAACCCTGTGGATTAAATGTCGATATTTTAATATAGTTTTTTCAACTTCCTGAAGTTCTAGTTAATTATCAAAATCTTTGCTGTAGTCTAAATGTTGTTGTCCCCCCCCCACACCCAAAATTCAGAAACCAATGTGATAGTATTAAAGGTGAAGCTGAGGCAGGAAGCTAAGGCAGGAGGATCTCAAGTTCAAAGCCAGCCCTGGGCTACATCATAAAACCCTGTCTCAAAAAAACAAAAATCAAATCAAAACAAACAAAAACAGGTGGGGCCTTCAGGAAGTGATAGGTCATGAAGGCAAAGCCCTAAGGAGTGGGACTAGGGCCCCTATGACAAAGGCCTAAGGGAAACTGTTTGCCCCCTTCCAACCATTGGGAGCAGAGCTAGAAAGGTGCTGAACTGGGTGGAAACAAAGACTGTCTCACCAATGACACAATTGCTAACCCCTTCATCTTGGACTTATCACACTCTAGAACCAGAACTAAATTTCTATCATTTGTAAGTTACCTCGTTTAAAGTATTCTGTTCTCTCTCACCCACTCTATCCCTCCCTCGCCTGCCCCAACTCTTTCACTCCTACCCCTCTCTCTCACTGGAAATTGAAATCCACGTCTTCAAGCATACTATTGTAAGCATAGGCAGGCATCCTATTGTAAGAGGTGCTTACACTGCTTTTGCTGAAAAGCACTGACTCTTATTTGGGCCCACAAATTAACTAAAACCAAGAGAAAAGCTTAGTATCTCTGTCTCCATTTTGTACCTGAGCCATTTCTACTGAAATCACCTTGGAATCAAGGAAGGACAGGAATGATCGATAACCTCTTTATGATAAGGGACCAAAACTACCCCTAAGGGACAGCAGAGCCTTGCAGGACAGACTACCCCCAAATGAGGGCAATTACCTATAATGACAAGGCTGCACACTGGAGCAGGAGCAATCATCTCACGGGAGCCAGATTGCTCCCCTCAAGTGATGACAGCGATAACTTCTCCAGAACCCTTCTCTGGAATTCTCAGGCTGAGATAATTGTCAACCAGAACACACCTGTGACTGGGATTGTTCAACTGTACTTTCACCCCATGCCTCTAATTCTTTGTCTATTTAAAGCTAAAGTTCACATCTGTGCCCCAAAGATGGCTGAAGACGAGCTGAATGTTTACTCTGTCTCTTCCCAGGGTGGGTCCCAGGCCATGTACTTGATCTGTTTCTCAGCCCTTTATCATCCTCACCATCCTCTTTATTTGGCGTATATCCAGACCTGACATATGGAAGCCCAGGAGTTTAGGCCTTGGATCCAAAACTCTGGTTTCACTATTTCCCCCTTACCCCTTCATTGTTTTAATTAAATCATTTTGAATATATAGTATTATACTCTTCATAGGATAATTGTATTATCTGAAGTTCTTTGTGGCTTAGTTCAGCTCATTGTTGTGGGCTGTCTCTCACAGTAGACTGGGTTGCTTTGCTTTGCTTTGCTTTGCTTTGCGACGGAGTCTCACCTGGAGAGATCCTGTTTTTTAGATTTTTCAATTGTGAGTGCATCCTCAGCAGAGCTTTAGTGAGCAAATCCAATGCTTCATAACTCCAAAGTGTTTTATATTTACTTCTTCTAGAAATCTCAGGAGAAGTACTATCCTTTAGTGTTAATTTTAATGTTAATTTCTCAATGTAGGTGTTTCTAGACCACCCAAGTATTTTAATTCAAACTCCAAACCCAAGTGAAGTCAAATCCATGATTATAAATTTTAGAGGGAAAACTTTTCTTCCAGAAACTGAGCCAAAACAGGCAAGCCACATTACTGGGATTTTTTTCTAGACATCTTACTCTAGAAGCCCACCTAGCAAGAATGTTTTGTTTTCAAAGAAGAAAACAAGAACCTATTAAGTAAGAGGTACACACAGAGAGAAAAGTAAATAAGAAAAAATTTAATTCCCCCAAACAAAATAAGCCCACAAACTAAAATAATAAAACACACAAATTAATCTAAGGTAAGACAAGTGAACATAATATTTTTTTCCTGGTGCTGGGGATCAAACCCAGGGCCTTGTGCATACTTGGCAAAATGCTCCATCTCTGAGCTACATCCCTGGCCCCCAGTTAAAAAAAGAGTTTCACAATGAACTAATTCTAGGGGAGATTATTTTTATGTAAGATGTGATACATTTTCCTAAAGTAAGTATGATCAGAGACAAATTAGTGTGCAGTACACATTTTTTAAAATTTAGGTACTGTGACTCAATGGTAGAGTACTTGCCTAGCATATGGGGGGCTGTCCTCAGCACTACCAAAACAATTTGTTTAATCATAGGAAATGATTACACAATAATGAAATAAGAATACAAGGAAAACTATTATCTTGGACATATAACCAATAAAGTTTAAACTCAATATATGGTACGAAGATACGATTAGAAAACAGTATCAAGAAATTATTTATAGCACATACAGGTTTGATCCCCAGCAGTACCACAAAAAATTAAGTAGTATCTATACCATAAAGAAAAGTACAAAAATATTGAAAAAGTCTTTTAAAAAGCCAGGCATAGTAGTGCATGCCTGAAGTCCCAGCTACTAGCAAGACTGAGACAGGAGGACCACTTAAGCCAGGATTTTCAGACTAACCTGGGCAACACAGAAAGACCCTGTCTCACAGCAAAATAAAACAAAGACATAAATTGAGCCCTATATTATATTCATGGATGTTAATTCATAACCATTATCAATCAATTATAAATAAAGAAAATCTGGCACCTATATTCAATGGAATACAATTCAGTCTTGAAACAGAAGGAAATCCTATCATTTGTGATGAAAGGACACATGGATGAACCTGGAGACATTATGGTAAGTGAAAAAGCTGGGCACAGGAAGAAATACCACATGATCTCACCTTATGCAGAAACTAAAGTGATGGAACTCATGTAAGAGAAGTAGAAGGGTGGCCTGGGGGCTAGGGAAGCCAGAACGTTGGTTGGTCAAAGGGTACAAAGTTGCAGTTAGATACTGAGGAATACATTCCAGAGACTGGGTTATGACATGGTCACTGCAGTTGACAACAATGTATCATACACTTAAAAATTGCTAGAAAAGTAGATATTAAGTGTTCTCACTACAAATAAATAATAAATATGTGGGGTGATCCATATACTAACTAGCTTGAGTGAGCCATCCCACAGCATATACAATTTCAAAACATCATGCTATATACCCATATATACAATTTTTGTAAACTAAAAATAAACAGTAATTTTTTTAACAATTCATAATCACAGAGGTCAATTCCCATAATTTAATCAACAAATATGAGATGGGGTCTTTTTTTTGGTGGCACTGGGGTTTGACCTCAGGGTCTCACGTTTGCTAGTCAACAAATGTAATGTCATTCCTATCCAAATCTCAACAAAGTTTCTCATGACACTTTAGAAAATAGTGCAAAGATGTATATATGGAGCAAAGGGCAAAAACAGCTGAGATAATTTTAACGGAGACTAGCAGAAGGTGTGGGCTATTGCCCTACCAGGTATCAAATGGAATAACAAATCTATCACACTTACCACAGAATATTACTGATGCAAATATAGAAAACAATACCACTGGAGAAGAACGGAGAGCCCTGTGCCTGTAGTAAGACTTGGTCTCCTTCCCAGGCCATTTTCTGTCTCTACAACAGTGCTTTCACTGTTTACAGTTCTTGCTGGAGGCGTCACCTGTGACCTACTTACGTATCATCGCCATCGGATCCTGGTTCCAGTTGCTCTTCATCTACTTCAGTGCCAGAGGCCATCTCCACTTCGCCCTCACCTTCTTCAGGAAGCCATGGTTTTAATGTCCCTACTGTTAAAGAAATGGCAAAGCAAGATTAACGCTGCCAAGCCTGTACATTTGATGAGCAGTATATACAAAAAATCCAATAAGTGAATGTCAACTATGATGGCAAAATCTTTTAAATCATCTCCATTAAAACAGAGTAAGACAGGAATGCCCATAGACACCCAGTTATTCAACTCTATACTGAAGGTAGTAGATAACACAACAAGATAAGAAAAAGAAGTGTCAGGAATAAGGATCAGAGAGGAAGAGCAAAACACCCCATTTTGGGGGTAAATGCTTTGATTGCATAGAAAATTTAAGAAAAGCATGTGTCTAAAAACTTACAGCCTGCCAAATTGTACCACCCTTACTCTCCCTCATTTCTGTAAATCCAGTGTCCATTTTTTTATTGAGGCCTAATCACTGTTGTCTGCAGAACAAACCCAAGCACACACACATGACTCTGTCTTATTATTATTGTTATTTCAAATGTACTTGAGCTAGGTGTGGTGGCACCTGCCTCTAATCCTGGCACTTAGGAGGCAGAGGCAGAAGGATCACCTATTCAAGCCAGCCTGGGCTATACAACACGATCCAATTGCAAAAAAGAAAAGAAAAGAAGCCACAGCACCAGTGTAATCCTAGCTACTCGGGAGGCAGAGATCATGGTTCAAAGCCAGCCGGGCAAATTACTGTCAACACCCTATCCCAGAGGATCTCAGCACAAAAAAGGGCTGTCAGAGTGACTCAAGTGGTAGAACACTTGCCATGCTAGCGTGAGGCCCTGAACTCAAATCCCAGTACCACGTGCACACACACACACACACACACACACACACACGCACACAAAGGGCTTTTTTTCTGGGGTTGGGAAGTGTAGCTCAATGGTGCACTCAGCATGCATGAGGCCCTGGGTTTGATCTCCAGACCATAGAAAATGTGCTTCCCCCCATTTGGAAAAGGATTAGACTGAAGATAGCACACTGTTTCATTTCTTTATAGCAAAGCCGTGTCCCCTTGAAGGAATTAAGGGTGTGTCATCTCAAAATACCTCAAATTGGTATATTGATTATTTCAAGGAGAAGTTCAAGCTAGAACTTCAGAATTGGCACTGGCCTGTCTTTTCCCCTACATACAGCACGCCATGAAGATCCTGTGAGGACGAGTGTCTTCCATGAACCACGGCCAGAAAACACCCTTGATCACCAAGACTTAGGAGTCGGAATAACAAAATCCACTGGAGTAACTGTTACCTTCCACTAGCTCTTATGCTTCCCACACATTGCTTAGCATCAGCCCCAGTCACTACCCTTGTCCAGAGAGCCATTTGTCCTGCTGGCATGTCATAAATGTATTCTTTGTCTGAAAAGTAGAAAAGCATCGTGCTGGGCTTTTTCTTTCCCTTTTCCTTTTTTTTTTTTTTTTCATTACTGGGGTTTGAACTCACGGCCTACACCTTGAGTCACTCCACCAGCCCTGTTTTGTGATGGATTTTTTTGAGATAGGGTCTCACAAACTATTTGCCAAGGCTGGCTTTGAACTGCGATCCTCCTGATCTCTGCCTCCTGAGAAGCTAGGAGATTACAGGCATGAGCCACCAGCCACCTGACTCTGGGGCTTTTCTTTAGACGTCACTCTTTTGGGTGAATCCCACATACATGTTATTAAAAGTCATTTGCTTTTCCTTTGTTAATCATCACTTGTTTTAGTTGATTTCTGGATTGACCCAAATAGCCCACAAAAGAACGAAGGGTTTGGGACTGGGAGTATGATTCAGTGTTTGAGTATGTGGTTCTATCCCCAGTATCAAAATAAATTAATAATAATAACATTTTAAAAGGGAAAAAGAATCAAGGGATGGTAGAGGGATCTGTCCCTTGCAATGACAAGTATATGTTAAGATGATAACCATCAGGGAAACACAAATTAAAAAATATTACTTCACACTTGTTAGGATCATCCTTATTTTAAAAAATCTGAAATGAGCAAGTGTCAGCAAGGCGGTGGAATAACTGAGTTTTGTGCACAGTTGGTGGGATTGCAACACGGTACGGCTGCTACAGGAAACAGCCTGGAGGTCCATCAAAAACCTAAAAGTAGTGCCGCACAAAGGTAAGCCGTCATTGACTGTATGCTGCACGCCCTGTTAGCAACATTGAAAAACGAGAAGGGTGTGTCCCAGAAGTGGTATGTTCCAGGATCCTGAGGCAGAAAGGCTTGCTAACCCCAGAACCAACCATTTTCAGATGTATACTCTATTAAGCACTTGCTGGACACTTGATATGTATTATCTCACTTTATATTGAAAACAATTCTTTGAGGTTAGTGCCATCATAACTCTGATTTTACAAATAAGGAAACAGAAGATAAGACTGTTTATCTGTGGGGAGCATCACAACCAGAAGTTGTTCCACATCTGCGTATAGTGTCTCCCATTAACCATTGTTCAATACTGTTTACCTCAGACATACAACACCACTTCTGAAAAGTATACCAGTGAGAATGTACAATGTTAATACAAATCGGAACCCCACAATTCAACTCAACAAAAAGACAATTTAAAACACTAGCACTCAAAACAAGGAGGGTGTGGTGGTATATGCCTGTAATCCCAGCTACTCCAGAGGAGATGAAGTTACCAGCACCATGGTCTACAGCTAGCCCAGGCAAAAACAGCACCGGACCCTATCATCTGTAAAACAAACTAAATCAAAAAGGGCCCGGGGCACAGCTGTCTACACCTCTGGGAAGTGGTGTGGGAGATGAAATGCCAAATGTTGTAGCTGTGATTAAATGCACAAACAGCACATATCCAATAGCATAATTAAATTGGGATTTTGAAAAAATTAACGACCAGTCGCACACTGTACTATTAAATGTTCTCGCCAGGTGCCAGTGGCTCACACCTGTAATTCTAGCTGCTCAGGAGGCAGAGATCAGGAGGATCGAGGTTCAAAGTCAGCTATGGCAAATAGTTTGTGAGACCCTATCTCGAAAAAAATCCATCACAAAAAAGGGCTGATGGAGTGGCTCGAGGTGTAGGCCCTGAGTTCAAACCCCAGTATCATGAAAAAAAAAGTTCTAATCCTTTTCATGATATATGCATTATTTCTTACAGAAGAAATTTATATCATCATAGTACAAAAAATCTAGAAAAAAATCAAATAATGATACAGGTATAGGGAATCATATTTATCTATCAATGGAGAAGAAATTGCTCAGGAACAAATATAAGTTTAAACTATTTCAAGCCAATAGGAAAATCTGTTGTTCAGAGCTGGGGACGTGGCTCAAGTGGTAAAGTGCCTGCCTAGCCCTGCGTGCCCAAACAAGGACCTGAATTCAACCCCAGGAACTCTAAGAGGAAGGAGGAGGAGGAGGAAGAGATGAAAGAGGAGGAAAAGGAGATGAAGGAGGAGAAGAAGGAGAAAAGCTATTATTCAAAAAATGGCATTGAGCCAGGCATAGTGGTACATGCCTGTAGTCCCAGATATTCTGGAGGCTGAGGCTGAGGTAGGAGGATCACTGGAGCCTAATAGTTAGGGGCTAGCTTGGGCAACATAGCAAGACTCTCGCAAGCAACAACAAAAACAACGAAATGTAGAATCTGGCTAAAACTTAAGATAAACAAAATAAACTACACTAGGATGCATTTTAATTACTCAAAGGATAGTAATTTGAGTCAACTGCCTAACTGTCAGAAGTAAACTGACTCAGGGAGAGCTAAGCGATGTTAGATCGTCCTCTACAAAGGTGCTAGTCCTTTTCTTCAGTTGGTTGTATTAAAGAAAATGATGCACCCATCCTTAGAAGTCATGTCATTTGTTAATGGCATTGGAACAGCTTTAGACAAAGGGAATCAGGTCCTGAAAATGCTGAACAGCTCTCTCTCCAGGCTAGAGGTATTGTCATCCCCCTTCTGCATTTCCAAACCTCCCACAGAACTGAGGGACTCAGACTGATGTGGTTAAAACTAAATATATACCAGGTTCTTCATTGGCAGAAAATGAGCTGCTCGTTAGATGTGCTGCTGTCAAAACGCGCATCAAAGTTCCTGGTGCTTCCTGCCGCCATTGCTTCCTAGCTTCTGGACCACCTTCCATCACAATCACTCCGCCATCTAAAGAAGAAACTATGTTAAAAAAAATTAAAATGTTCTGTGGTGTGGCTTAAGTGGTAGAGTGTATGCATAGAAAACATGAGGCCTTGAGTTCAAATCCCAGTGCCACCACCAAAAAAAGAGAAAGAAATTAGGCCAGGGATTTGTCCAGCTCTATCTGCTGCCCTCTTTGCAGGCCTCACTTCCTGCAGTACTTGAAATCTCTATGGTGCCAGCAAGCTAGATCCAAAGTCCATACATTTTCCAGATACCAAGCTGCCCTGCTCCCTTTGATGGCTCACACCTATAATCCCAGCTACTTGGGAGGTAAAGAGTGGAAGGATTGGAGTTTGAAGCCAGCCCAGGCAAAAAGTTCTCAAGACCCCATCTCAACCAATCGCTGGGTGCAGTGGAACAAGCCTGTCATCCCAGCTCTGGTGGGAAGTGTAAATAAGGAGGATCGTGGTCAGGAGAGCCTGGGCATAAAGTGAGAGACCTTATCTTAAAAATAACCAATGCAAAGAGTGTTGAAGGAGTGGCTCAAGTGTTAGAATGCCTGCCTAGCAAGAGCAAGATCCTGAGTTCAAACCCCAGTACTGCCAAAACATAAATAAACAGAATGCATCTTCCTTCAAGTTTTCATAAAGTCACAGAATGTTAGGACCTTGAAAGAAATCTCACCCCTTATTTTACTAATAGGAACTGAGGTATAGACGCTGAGATATAGAAAAGTTTAGTGCCTTATTGTCATGTAGCTGATGGATAGAACAATCGTTTTTTTGCTTTGTAAACTTTTTGTTGTGATAAAACTTCTATTTGCTTATTTTAAGTTGTTTCCCCTCAATTATCTTAGTAAATTATAAATCAACTTACACACTTACAATTGCTAATTTCAATGATATATATACTCATTCCTTGGTATCCAAAGCAGATTGGTTATACGACTTCCCCCCAAGGACATCAAAATTCGTGGATACTCAGTTTCCTTGCATACAATAGAGTGCTGTGTGCATATGGCCTAGGCACATCCTCCCATGTACTTTAGTCATCTGTAGGTGACTTATAGCAGTGTACGTGCTCTATAAATACCTGTTATATTACATTGCTTAGGGAATAATGACAAGAGAAAAGTCTGCATGTGTTCGACACAGACTCAGGTCTTTTTGAATATTTTCCATCTGTGGCTGGTCGAATCCGAGGACATGGTGGTCTGAGTATTCTTGCCTATTTCAGTTTATAGCACCGGCATAATTTTTAGCTTTCTCTCACTGCTATGTTATCAAAAGGAACATAAGACATATGAGTAATAAAAATCTTCCCCACCTGTGAAGATAACACCCAGAGACTGCTGTGAACTTCTAAGGAAAGGCTATGTCAGAGCCTCCAACATGTCCTCCTGACAGGAGCTCAGGTTGAAAATAACATTACAGCTTAAATGAGCCAAACATTTAAACAGCACACTGGGCTCTGCCGTGTGTTCCCACCATGACGTGCCACCAGAGGCTCGAAGAACCAGGGCCAAGCAAACATGGACTAAAGCCTGCAAAACTGCGAGCCAAAATAAACCTTTCCTCTTTATAAGTTGATGGCTTCAGGTATTTGTTTTAGTGATGGGAAGCTGACTAACACAGTGATGGAACTCAGAGCGTAAATGAAGTTGTACAGTACAAGAAACCCAAATATCTGGGAATGGCCACAAGGACAGCAGTTATCAGAAACGTGAAGTAGGGGAATCTAGGGATGAGCTTGCTTCAGTGTGGGTCAGGGAGACTCCTTGAAAAGGCAGTCATAACCTCCTCTCTTTCTCTTCCTTGACAAAAGGAAGGTTGTGGCTACACCATAAACCTTAATGTAGTTATCCCAGGATCTAAGCTTTTGTGATTCAAACCCAAGAGCCAGAGCCCTTTGCCACCCACCCCATACTGGATCCAAATGCCCATCTGGTCCCCAGAGCAGCGGTGTCTGCCCACACAGCAGTGTATGAGAGAACCACACAGGCCAGCCAGCGGCCTGACAGGTCAGAATTAACAGCTCTTCCTTGGTCTGGTGATGTCTTGCTTGGGACGAACCATTCTCAACCCCAGAGGAACGTGAAGGAAGCTGTCAAGGTCAAGGTACTTAGAAACTGCTTTTGCTAAAAAACAGACTTCTCGCTTGGGTCCACAAGTTAACTAAAAGAGGGATTAAAAAACCAAAATAGAGGCACTTCTACCTCTATTGCTCTGAGTCATCCTCCCCTGCAGTCACCTTGGAATCTGAGAACCCAGGAATGATGGATAAGCATCTTGTAACAAGGGTCAAATCTACCCCCAGGCAGCAATGACTTTCTTACTGTGACAAGACCCCACCTGATCAATCCTCAGATAATAATCAACCAGACCATGGTTCGACCAAGACTGATAAACTAAGCATGCTTCTAGCCCCTTCCCTATATAATCTGGAAACTCATGTCAGTAACCTGAACACCATTCATTATCTGTTCTTCCCACAAATGTGCTGACTAAATCTCCTTTCTCTGCTCTTCTAAATAAGTAAATAAATGAATAGCACATTGACTTACAAAGCAGTTTTATAGTATTTTTGCACTGTTAACTCTTTAACTCTCATAAGGGAAATTATTCTTTTATTTCCAATTTTACTGGCAAAAAAAGTTACCTCCCACGAAATTGTAAGGAAGTTATTAAGCCAGGAGTGGAGGGTAAATCAAGTCAACTTCCCTGCCTTCTACATTTTCCCTCACTATGAGGAAGATAATGGTAACAGCCTGGATTTTTCTTCCTTTACCTTTGCATGGCATGAGTGTCTAGGATAATGAGCAGGCAAGTCTCTCTGGGGTGGAGGAGTGACCAAAACAATGTCTTTGTAAGGTGTTTGGTACCAAATCTATAGAGTATACTGAAAAATGGGATTCTAAACAGGATGAGTGCTGGCAACACAGCTGGGAGGGGATCTTGGTCTTCCCTTGCTGCCACTGTTGGCATTGATCAGAGACTCACCATCAGGCACCATGGAGCAGGTAGAGGTGACATCGGCCACGGCCATCATTTGCAGCAGAGTCTGAGGGGCTCTGGCGTCCCACTGCCTCCTGCTTTCTGCAGCAGCAGCATCTGGAATACAAAACTCTGAGTGTAAGAGAGTAACTCCAAAGCAGCCAGAGTGAAGCTAATTGCACCCAACAGCTCTCAGGCACCCAAGACAGTCTATCAGCCAGTATGTGTAAAACCAGAAATTGCCACCCTCATTCTAACATAGATGGGAACTTACAAGACTGAAATCAAAGAAGAAGGAAAAAACAAGACTGAAATCACAAACAGGTTTAAATGGTGTTTCACTTTTATTATTAACATCTGATTGGCCAATTTAACAAAGTGTTAAGAAATTATTAGCGACATGAATGAGCACGTTCATTGACGTGTTTATGAGCACTCAAATCAGTTTCCATAGTGTGTCATTTTTTCCACTTTCTTAATTTAAAAAATAACTTGTATTATCTTTTTTCTTTAGTACTATATTTCACTATAGGATATTTGAAAATCAAATAAGTAGAAGTTAAATCACCCATAAGCTTGACATCCAGAGGCTAGTAACATTTCAAAAAAAAATTGTTCTTTCATATCAATTTTGCTTTGCTTTAAAACAAAACTTGTGTCCCACAGGACAAACTCTCTCACACTAGCTTTCTTCAGTCAGCTACATATCTTATCCTGATTAGTAAATATTCTTCTGTTGTACTATTTTAAAGCAAACAGTATTCTTTTTCACGAATATGTTTTCATTCTTTTTTTGGCAATACTGGGGTTTGAACTCAGTGCCTTGCACTTGCTAGGCAAGGGCTCTACCGCTTGAGCAACTTCACCAGCCCAGCAATTTTTTTTCTGATATAAAACAATACTATAATGATTTCATTCACAGCAAAAGTTGTGTGGACATTTATGATTATTTGCCATCGATAAATTATTGAAAATGACAATTTTAGGTAATAGTGTTTTTGCTTTACCAAAGTTTTTCATTATTATTGTTGATTCCATTAGTAATTTATTCTGATTTTTTTCTATGCATTTTATGTATTTATTTAATTTAGCTCATTAGTTAATTATTATTTTGTTTTCTTTGCTATGTAGCCCAGGCTGGTCCTTGAACTTGAAATTCTCCTGCCTAAACCTCCCAAGTGCAGGGATTATAGCTACTTAAATTTAAAATTACGTATATTTTCTTTTACTTGTTTTTGGCAGTATCAAGGTTTGAACTCGGGGCCTCGCACTTGCAGGCAAACACTCTACCACTTGAGCCATGCTCCAGCCCTTTCTTCATTTTGTAATATGTAACATATTTACATATAAACTTCAATTTTTTTAGAATTTCTTGTTATATCAGATTGTGTAAGGTCTGATTTCACAATTTTTCCTAAATTACTAACAAATTGGCCCAGAAGCATGTATTTTAGTGATCAATTCTTCTCCTCTGACTTGTGATGCACTTTTAGCATGCAGTAAATTATGACACATATTCTTATAATTTATATATTGTGAAACTATGAAAGGCAAGTACTCCTGAACTGCTCTTTTTTCTCACATTTTTTTTAGCTAGTTAAGAATCTCCAAGATTCTCCAGAATGCCAAGATCTCCTCATATCAGAAAAATTTCCTGTTGTGCTTTTGATTGAAACAGACATAAATCCATATATTTATTTGGGAAGAGTATTTCCAATATATGGCACTGCTGATACTGTTTTCAAGTGGTCTTTAAATAGTTCAATAACATTTTATAATTTTCTTCAAATGCCCTGCACAATTCCTGTAAAGTTTATTACTAAGTGAAGACACACCTACACATACATATACATGTATGTATTTACTGTGCTACTGTTAATGAGATCTGAAGACTAACTGGGGAAAATATTTGTAAGACATTTACCTTTACCACACCCAGCCAGGTGAATCTTATAGATTAAAAACAAGTGAGCCTTTTTAATAGAAACATGAATGTAGAGCTGGGTATGAGGATCATAAGTTCGAGGCCAACCTGGGCTACATATTAAGATGAGAATCTGTCTAAAAAAAAAAAAGAAGGTGAGAGAGGGGCATTAAGGGAACAAAACAGGGGAGTGAACTTTTTCAAAGTACACTGTACACATCAATGGAATTGTCACAACGAAATCCCCTGTACTATCAATGTACTCTAATTAAAAGCTAAAATAACATTAAAAATGCAAACAAAAAATGCCAAAAAAAAAATACTCCTCTAATTTGGAGAATCCCTGTAGAAGGAAGAAGGGAGGCAGGGAGGGAGAGGTAGAGAGGGAAAGAGAGAAAGAGTAAAAAAGAAAAAGAAAAATGGATGAAAGATGTGAGTACACAATTCACAAGAGAAATATGAATGGTCAGTGAACATGTGGAAACAATCTTCCTGGACAGCAATTACACAGATGCAGATTAAAATGAGATCAAAACTAACGAAGGCTTTTTATTTCATTTTACTTGTTTGTTTGCTTTTTGGCAGTGCTGGGGATTGAATCGAACACTCTACTACTGAGCCCATCCTCAACTCTGTTTTGGTGTTTTTCTTTTTATTCTAAAAGGAGTCCACCCATCCTCCTCCCTTCAGAGAACTTATACAAAGAATGACCTCTGAATTGCCTCTTTCCCTGAGACTGCTGTCACCAAGTCCACTGAGTGCTTCAGTGGACCACATCCTGGGGGCTATTGTTGAGCCTGCCTCACCCAGCCTTTCTCTTCGAGCTCATGCTGCCCACCCCTGTGCCTCCTGCAGAGACCTTCTCTCCTCTTGTGGAGTCACTCTGTCCTGATTCTCCCAATACTTATGTGAATAGTGCTAGAGTTCTGTTCCATTTCCTTCTCACTCCGGTGAGAATACCTGGGCCTCGTCTTCTTGACCATCAGGAAGGTCTAAATACTGTGCATAAGCTATGATGTGCCAAACTGTATCTTCAGGCCTGGTTTACCCCAGACCTTTTACAACTGACACCTTCTAAACATATAAACATCCCCAGCCAAGCTCAGCCGTACAGCACTCACCTAGCATATGCAAGGCCCTAGGTTTGATTCCCAGAACTCCTAACTGGACAGATGAATGAATGAATGAATGAATGACTATTTCAAGCTGGCATTTATAAAGATCTAAATCAACATATTCCAGATTTAGGCTGTGGTATGCTCTTTGCTGACCTCCTTCTACATGATATGCATTTGGTTGTTTGACAGATTCATGCATCTGAATTAGAAAATTGGGAGTGTCCATGAGTCTCTTCCCCACCCTCCCTCCACCCCACACTCTGATCTACTCCCATGGTCTGCACTGGCTCCTGCACCTGTCTTTTCCCACCTGGACTAGTCTCCTGCCTTCGACCTTGCCCTCCATCCCATCGCACATGCACCCAGTAGCCAGCATGATCACTCTCAATCGTAAAAGCAATTCAAATCCCTTTGATTGAACGTCATCACCCACTGGGATAAAGCTGAAGCTCCATGGCATGCCAAGCCCCAGAGGGATGGGGAGCTCCCTGACTCTCCAGCTAGCTCGCACCCCAATAGTGACAGGCATTTCAGGCTCAGGACTCATTTTGTGTCTCCTTTTCTTTTGCTCGTGAGACTTCCATGGTATTGAGGACAGTGCCCAGGTCTCTTTCGTCTTTGAATTCCCTACCACTGAGCTCAGTCTCTGGCACAAGCGGGAGCCTCCATAAGATGCCTAATTGAGTAAAGATGTTTCTAGATAGAAATGAGGCAAACAGTACTCTAGAAAGGGGAAACGGAGCCAAGTCAGGCGTGTAAATGCTCACATGGCTGTAAGAGAAGATGGGTGCTCCCCAGAAGCAGGCTATATGGATCCCATCACTGGTGGGAGGGAAAAAGGGTGCTAGGGTGCGAAAGGTGGGTCACCACAGGAACAGGCTACACAGCATTAAGTATGAGACTACATGGGATGGACTTTATCCTATAGGCATTCTATCTATCTATCTATCTATCTATCTATCACCTATCTATCTACCTATTGATCTATCATCTATCTATCTGTCTCTATCATCTATTACCTATCTATCTCTATCATCTATCTCTATCTACTTATATATATCTATCTGTATCATCTATCTATATATCACCTCTATCTCTATCTCTATCATCTATAGATCTAGGCAAGTACTCTACCACTGAGTCACATCCTCAGCCCTATCATCTATACATCTAAATATCATCTATAAACACAGAGTAATAATATGACTCCAGCAGCCAAGAGGCAAATAAAAGAGAGTAAAAGGAAACACTAGAGAAAGAGAGGACACATAAGCTAATAAAGCAATATAACGAGGGAAAGAAAGAGCATTTATTAAGCACCACCATATGACAGGATCCTTATGAATCGTATCTCATTTTATCCTCACAACCCTGTGTGGCTCTTACTACTACTATTACCCCGGGTTCCTATGAGGAAATAGAAATTCAGTGCACGGAAGTAACCTGTGGAAAATGTTCTTTGATCAGAAAGTGCAACTCCAGCTGGAATTTAAACTTCCATTGTTGCCAAAGCCCATACACTTCCTACCTCACCACTCTGCTGTGGGTGACAAAGCCCTAAATGGGCCAGAGGTACGGAGGAGGAGGGAGAGTCCAGGGATGTCTTTGGAAGGAGCTACCCCAGGTGTGCAGCAGGCACCCTCACACTAGTGAAGGTGTTGACCAGGATAGAAGGTTTACTTTACACATGCTGAGTTCGAGACCCTGGCACCTGTCCTGGCAGCTCTCCAGCAGGTAATGAGAAGGATTGGTAGGTGTGGAGCTCCTGGAAGAAGATGAAGCTGAGAGAGGGAACTGGTGGAATGGCCCAGAGTGAGCAGCCAGAGAGGAGGGCTGAATGTCGGGGTGTGTGCAGGAGGGGAGCCAGGAGTCAAGCAGAGAGAAAGTTCGAGATGGATCGTTAATAAAATGGTTCCTTCTCATCCACAGCTTTCAAGGAACAGGTACCTGGTTCTAGGCCGTGGAGTTCTTCAAAGGCTTTGTCTGTGTAGTCTTCATGCTCCTTTATATGTCTACGTTCCTTAAATTTCATGCCACCCTCGAAGGTCAAAGTATCATTTAGCATGTCCCTTTCCTGAAACAATTCCACAGTGTTTTAAGAGAAATAAGCCAGGGGAGGGGAGTAAATTTTTTTGTGTTCCCTCTAACCCTAATTAGCAAGACACATCGTAAGTATCCTATATATATTTGTTAAGCAAACCAATACACTTTTAAAAGTAAAACTATTTTGAATAAGATAGAAACAGTAAATATTCTCATTCCTTTTCCTTGTCTATAGTGACAAGCACTGGTCACGGGCAACTTCATTTTATCCAGATTCTGTCTCTTAATATTATTCTACTTCAGTTCCATCCTACAGAACTCTCAAGGTTTCTCTTCCAGCCCCTGCTTTCAGTATATGACATAACATTCTTTCTTTTCTAAGACAGTGTCTCCCTATGTTGCTTTGCTGATCTCCTGGGCTCAAGAAATTCTCCTGCTTCAGCAGAAGCAGGGACCACAGGTGCACACTGCACCCAACTTTATAAGATTCTTAGCAAGTCCCTAAAATTGCTCCTACTCCATAATCAATACTAAAACAATCGCTTTCATTTCAAGCATATTAATGCACAGAGTAAGAAAGAGGAACACCCTCGCAGGTAGAGCTCCTACTCCAGCAGGCAAACTTCAGTGCTTCCTGTCAACACAGCCCCATGAGGTACCTCCCTACACCTGCTGGGCTGTGATCCCACAGCTCTGGGCGCTCAGAGTTCTAATGGTTGAACAGCAGTAAGCACTATCACCACTCTAATGAAAGCTTAGCACAGCAAAATGCTTGTAGAAATATGAAATGATGATATAAAAACATTTTTGTTTATTTCACTTTTGGTTTTGGTGCTGGGGATTAAATCCAGATCCTCATGCGTGCTAAGCATATGTTCTGTAAGTGTGCACTTAGGAGTGCCCAAATGCATAACTGAGATTTATCCAAAGACACCTTCAAAGTTATCAGTAATGAATTAAGACTCAAATGTTTATGGTGCAGGGCACCTGCTCAATTTTTTTAGGTCAGTATCAGGGCTTTGTGTTTGCAAATCAGGCACCATACCACTTGATCCCCACCTCCAGACCATTTTGTTCATGTAATTTTGGAGATGGGGTCTCAAACTATTTTCCTGGGCTGGCCTCAAACTACAATCCTCCTGATCTCAGCCTCCCAAGTAGCTAAGATTATAGGCATGAGCCACCAGTGTCCAGCTATATCATGTCTTTTAATTTGACCATGATAAAAAGTTAATATTAGAAAAATAGTTCTTTTATAAAAGTAAGTTAAAACAAAATAATCCATCTAAGGAAATAACCTCAACTTTTAAAAACAGGGGGATTAAAAAGTATTTAAAAGACTCACTTGATTACCAGAGACTTTTTTAGGGCTATTTAAGAAAAATTTCCCCACAGCCTATGGAACAATTTCATGAAACTTAAGATATATTTGTTTTCTCAGACCTAATGGAAATGAATACTTAATGACATACCTCTGTTTCTTGGAAGATGTCTTCACCAGAAACACACCTGTCTAAATTAATTTCAAATTTTACGCCTCTCTAGAAGAAAGTAAGAAAAAAATCTTAGTTTAGCCCAATAAAAGCCTTATAATTATAACTCCCATGGTCAATTTATTTTGATATACACACATTTAAATCATTAGTCTAACATCACAAAACAGAGTTATTCCATAAAACTATAGGGGGAAATCATGTAGGCACCCCAGATTATAAGGTGTGAACCCCAGATGTTTTCTAATATGGAACCAAAAGAAAAAAAAATGTTTATTACCTTAGGTTTATATTTCTGTTCTGGAATTTTACTTTCTTTTATATTCTGAAGCCTAATTTGTTTCAAGTCTCTTTCAATGTCCTAAAGTTTAGAGAAAAGTACAGTTCTATCACTTAGTAATCATCAATCATACTTTTGCAATCTCTGAGTTCACGGCACTGTATGTTTCTGTGACCTGACTTATAGATTAAATGTGATGGTTGATTTTAGAATAAAAACACACTAAAAACTTAGGCCCAGTATCCAAAAGTTTGAAATATTCATGTGTTTAGCATAGGTATTTCAATGGGTAAAAATTCTTAGGTGTGATGAAATGCCTAGTACAGCCCAATCCAACTCAATCTAATTCAAGAAGGTAATTTTTTTTCCAGTGTTAGGATGGAACTCAGGACATTGAGCATGCTCGAGAAGAGCTTTACCCACATCCCCAGCCCAAGAATGTCATTTTGACAACAGGATCCATCCTGAAGGCTTATTATCTAAATCAGGAAAATGAGAAAAGTACGCACCCCATGACAGTATAAAGGGGGATTCTAAAAATTGACAGGCAATTTCCAGAAGGAACAGAAAAGAAGACTGTAAATGTGGATGACAAGCTCTTCAAAGTAAGGGCTGAGGTTTCCTAGAGCTCCAACCTGAGCCTCTGCTCTCCTCTTCATCAGCCCGAGGGAATCTCATTCATTCCTATCAATCAAGTGCCATCTTTATGCGTTGGTTCTTCAGTGTGTCTTCTGGCTTCGCCTTTCCTCTCCTCTGAGCTTCAGACTTCCATATCCTACCTAGTTAGCATCATCTTCAATCTAAGTTATTCAGCAAATTCATCCTGAGCACCTTATGGGTCCAGACCTCTGCACAATGGTTCAGCACAGTGAACACAGCCAAAAAGGCCCCCGCTGGCATGGAGCTGACATTATACTGATGAACAAATGAGTTAACAAATCAATGACGTGATTTCAGAAAGTATCAAGTGAATAAAGAAGATAAAATAGGTAATAGGATGGACAGTGAGTGGGGGTGAGCGTAACGCAGGAGAAGCTATGTGGCACTAGACTTAAGGCCAGGAAGGACATTGGGCATTGGCACATGAAGGTCCGGGGAAAACCTTTTCCATGCCGAGCACACAGGAGGACAAAGACCCAGAAGCAGGTGTGTGATCTCTCAGATCGCCTCTAACTCAAAATGGAACTCTTGACCACCCCCACCCCTCACGAGAAGTGGGTGCTGCAACCTTCTGCTTTCAGTCAAAAACAGTGCTAGGAACCACATGCATTCCCCTCCCCCAATCCCTAAACATCTGCACATTCACATTCAATATGGATGCAACGGTCATTAACACGTTAGACACCCAGAGTAGAAACCAGGGATCATTAAGAAACAGAGAACAGGTGAGAGGAAACTGACAGCTTCCCCAGCCTATGGTGGAGAATTAACAGGTCATGGTGCAGGGCTGGGAAAGCCATGCTGAGCCTGGCAGACCCCTGAGTTGATAAGGCGAGGCTGAGAACCTGGAGATACTAAGGCTGCTACAGTTTGAAGGACAGAGTCCCGAAGAAGAGAGAATCAGAGCTCTCACACATTGCTGGTGGGAATGTAACACAGCGTGCCTACTATGCAAAACCCTTTGCAAAAACTTTATGTGGCGGTTTCATAAAGAGCTAAATACAAGCTCCTGTAGTCTCAGCTGGTCAGGAGGCAGAGGCAGAAGGATGTCAAGTTCGAAGCCAGCCTAGGCAACATAATGAAACTCTGACTCTTATAAGAAAAATAAGGGCTCAGGATATAACTCAGGGTTAGAGCATTTGCCTAGCACTCGTGAGGATTAGATCTCCAGCACCACCAAAAACAGAAAAAGAAAAATTAAACATTTACCTACTCACTGGGCACCTGTGGCTCATGGCTGTACTCCTAGCTACTCAGGAGGCAGAGATCAGTAGGAACATAGTTCGAAGCCAACCTGGGCAAATTGTTCACAAGACCCTATCTTGAAAAATACCCAGTCCACAAAAGGGCTGGCAGAGTGGCTCAAATAGTAGAGTGCCTGCCTAGCAAATGTGCCACCAAAAAAACATATATATACATGTACTCTATGATGCAGCCATTCCAGCCCAATGAATTTATCCAAAACTAAGAAACAAAGCATATGTATACACAAAGATTTGTACATGAATGTTCAGCTTTATTTGTAATAGCCAAAAGCTGGAAACAACTCAAATATTCATCCATAAGTAGATGGATAAACAGATTTTAGGGCAAGTTCAAGGCCTTAAGTTCAAACCCCAGTACCATAAAAAACAAGCTCACATGCTTAGGTGCAGAGCACCTGCCCAGAAAGTGTGAGAGCCTGCATTCAAACCCCAGTACTGCAAAAAAAAAAAAAAAAATTGCTATATTCATTGAATGGAATATCCCCAGCAGTAATGAAAAATGATGAATTCTTAATGCATGTAATGTGGCTAAATCTCAAAGAGAGTACGTGCAGTATGATTCCATTTATATGCTGCAAACAATCTGTTGTGATACACAGATCTGTGGGAGGAGAGGCCGGGAGAAGACAGAGAGAATATGACAAAGGGGCCTTGGAGTATTTTTAAAGGTCTGCACAGGCAGAGGCAAGGAGGACCAGGCCAGAAAGATCTCACTGGGAATTGCAGAGCCCAGCCCCCACCCCTACCTGTGCAGGCGCCTCTTCCTCAGGTGGGTGCTGGCGGGCGGCCAGGACACTCTTCTTCACCAAATAGGTTTCATCATTGATTTTTGCGTTCTCCTTTAACACAAATTATACAGAGTTAATGAGATTGGGGGAATTCTTTATCCTTCTCTCTTTTAAACAGCTTTCTCAGTGCATAATTTATATTTAAAATGTACACACACAATTCTCTGAGCTTGTTATACCCATGAGCTCTGGAGGCTACTTTTTGTCTCTTTGCCAGGGTTTGACTGAGCCCAGTGAGGACATGCTGTCCTCTTGCTGGTAGACAGAAAGGCTGGAAAACGCATCCCTACCTCTTTTTTTTTTTTTCCTCCTGTGGTGGCCTGATGCATCCTAGGCAAGAGCTCTACCTCTGAGCCACAGCTCAGCCCCAAAGCCCTCTTTATGACTTGGTATACCCAAAATGCTTCTTTCATAGTCTTTCTAGAAATGTCTGCTATTCAGCCCTAGTCTACATATATGAGGTCCTAGGTCTAATCCCCAGTACTGAAAAAAAGGAGGAAGGAAGAGAGGGAGAGAGGAAAGAAGGAAGGGATGAAGGGAGGCCAAAGAAGGAAGGAAAGAATGCTTGCTACTCATCTTTCTTGGGCTCAGGATTTCTGTTGCAGACCTGCCTTACATATAAAGCTAATGCTGACACAAGGCTCCCCACATGATCCAAGGTGGTGCATCACTTATTGACAGGGTAAATTTAGAGAAATGTGTTGTGTGAACATCACAGAAGGCAATTTCAGAAACTAAGATGGCTGTGTCATTACTAGGTAATATAATCTTATAGGATTATACATGTGTATGCAAATTATCATTAATTGAAAAGTTGTTATGCCATGCATGACTGTGTAGATTTTAGAACCATACCCCTGCCCACAGTTGAATTCAATAAACTTCAGTCTTGGGGCTGGGCAAGGTGGTACATGCCTATAATCCCATTTACACCAGGTGGAGGTAAGAGGATCCTGGTCAGAAACCAGCCTGGGCAAAGTTAACACAAGGCCCTATCTCAAACTCAAATTAAAAGCAAAAGAACTGAAGTGTGGCTCAAATGGTAGAGCTCGAGTGGTAAGCTCGAGGCACTGAGTTCAATCACCAATACTGCCAAAAAAAACCCAAAAACTTTTCTGTCCTATAGACATGAACTTACACTCATTTTGGACTTTGCATCTAATCTACTTCTGTCCTAAAATAGCTGCTAAGTAAGTACTTATGGATAGATCATAAAGAAGACAATCAATGTGTATTTTAAAAAATGGGTATTCCTAATTGAGATACCTTCTCAGATACCCTCATCATCTTGTACAGCCTCCAGTAAACCATAATAAAGTCAAGCTCCTACTGTGTCTGGTAACTTTCCTATTAAGAAAGCAGCCTGTGTGGTTATTTCTATGATAAAACTTTATTTTTTCTATAAGGAGACTTTACTTTTTTCCCTGTGGGATTGAGCGCAGGGTTTTGGGCACGCTAAGCACGTACCCTACCACTGAGCTACACCCCTAGTCAGGGTCATTACTTGCAATATCTACTCATTTCGTTGACTCTAAATTAATAGAATGTTTCCTTCTGGAGGGGCAAATTTACCTCATGCTCTCTTCCCATCTTCTTTCTAATTGCCTTCACGTCATTGTGGTACTGGTCGCGTATTTCCTCCAGCTCTTTCCAGTATTCCTGGAAAACAAAGCCAACCCACAAACTCTGTTTGTGAACAACTTAAAAATAATTCCCATACAGCCTACAATTTTTAAAATGTGCAGTAAAAATGAGCATTAGAAAACCCGTAGCTCTTAAATGTGATAGTCTACTTTGGTGTTGCCCGTGGTACTTCATGCCCTGTGAGAGATACTTTGGCGTGGGGACACAGATTTATAAATGCATTAAAGCTGTAAGTCACTTTACAGATCTCACTTTTATACAGAATCCTGTTATGGATTGGATTTTCACCTTCAGAAGGATATGTTGAAGCTAGCATGGTGGTGCTCACCTGTAGGACCAGCTGCTTGGGAGGCTGAGGCAGGAGGCTCAGGCAGCATAGGGAGCTGCCTCTCTCTCTCTCTCTCTCTCCCCCACTTCTCTCTCTCTTACACACACACACATACACACACACCTGTCAAAGTTCTACCCTGGTGCCTCAGCATGATTGGGAACAGGTCATGGAAGATGTAATTATCAAAATGAGGTCTTGCTGGAATACAGTAGATATCAATTTGAGTGGTGTCCTTTCAAGAAGACAGTCACGTGAAGACAGAGAACACCATGTGACAGAGGCAGAGCTTAGAGTTATACCTCTGCAAACCAAGGAATATCAGATTGCCAAGAAACCAACAGAAGCCAGGAAGAGGCAAAGGATTTCCCTCTAGGCTGGAGTGGAGCTGGATACACAGGGCTGTCAACACTTGACTTTGAACTCCCAGTCCCGAGAACTGTGAGGCAGTACATTTCTGTTGTTTTAAGCCAGGTTGCTATACTTTGTTAGGGCAGCCCTAGGAATACAAATCCCAAACAGTGAATGATGGATGGCTTCTTTAGCAATCCAAGGAGGAAAGCCTTCTGAATTAGCTGGGCTGCACTCTCTGAGGAAGTGAAATAGGTAGCTCGGTGCGCCCTAAGGCACCCACGCTAGTGCGCAATCTGAGTGTGTGCAACAGCGCCCTCTAGGTGCACTGCACCCTGAAACAGCACAGGGACCACACACTGCACAAGGAGAGCCTGGAATTAGACTGCTTTTAACCTGGTCCTTCATGTCCTTTTTCCTAAACTGCAGCTCCTGGAATCGAGGCTCTTCTCCATGACCTCTTAGCTCTTGCCTCAGGTTGTAATCTGGCTCAGCAGAAGATGGACGAAGACCCTATTGATAGAAGGAAACAATTTATGACACGCTTACATTTGGAAAACGACTTGATTTGACCTTGATTCTTTTTCCCAATAACATAACAAGAAGATCACCAAGCAAACCCAGTAATTGAGAGCATTTTCTTATGGTAAGTAGTAGAATTTGGGGGGAGGGGGAGGTGGTGCTGGGGTTTGAACTCAGGGCCTTGTGCTTGCTACTGCTTGAGCCATACCCCCAACCCTTTTTGCTTTAGCTATTTTTAGATAGGGTGCCACACTCTTGCCTGGGCCAGTCTCAGACTATGATCCTCTTATGTACGTCTCCCATGTAGCTGGGATGACAGGCATACATCACCACACCCAGCTTTTTTGTTGAAATGGAGGTCTTGCTAACTTTTTGCTTGAGCTAGGCTTGGACCTTGATCTTCCTACCTACACCCCCCATGTAGCTGGAATTACAGGCATGAGACACCTCACCAGGTCACAATTTTCTTAATTTAAATATTAAATACTAAACAATTTTTAAAAATTCAATCATTGGTATTTATTCTATGCAACTATTATTTTTTTCCATTTACTTTGTTTTTTTGATACTGGGGTTTGAGCTCAGGGCTTCACGCTTGCTAGGCAGGTGCTCTACCATTTGGCCCACACCTCCAGCTCTCGATTATTATTTTAGACTATCATTTGAAACACCTACATTCATTTCCTGGATTGGTAAATTGTAATTATGAAATTAAAGCTCTGCAAAGTTTGGCAGCTCTAGAGTGTGGGAAGAAATACAACTTTTGAGCAGTTCAAAACTAGTGATACAAATGGGATGCACATGCAGCCTCTCTCGGCCCAGAATTCTCACACAGTACCTAGGCAAAGGCTAACTTTCAATTCAAGTAAGGTATAACAGTCAAAAAATGTGCAGAACACATAAAGAATAAGATTTTTTCATTTGCAAGTAAGTGGACAGAACTAGAGAACATCATATTAAGTGAAGTTAGCCAAGTTCAGAAAGCCAAAGGCCTTATGTTCTTTCTCATACGTGGAATATTGACCCAATACAAATACATCAACATTATGAAAAACAGGTCACACTAGGGGAGGTCACTAATGAGAGAGGGAGGGTAAAAGAAGTAAGTTAAGAAGATGAATATGGTTGATGTACTTCCCATATAAGAATGAATATGGAAATTTTAAATCTGTTGAAATCACCATAAGAAGAGGACTACGTTAGAAAGGAGAAAAACAGAGATGAACCAATTCAAGTTATAATACATATATACATGGAAATGTCACAGTGAAACTCCTTGTGTAGTGATCTTTATCAAATTGTCTATTTTCAAAAACAGAAGGTAGAACAGATTCTGTCTGGGGGTTGGCACAGCGGGAGTGGGGAAGATACAAGGAAAGGGTACAGGAGGATGAATATGGTGGAATTATTATGTACTCATGTATGAAAATGGAAAAATGAGACCTGTTGAAACTGTTCCAGGAATGGGAGGAGGAAGATAAAGGAGAATGATGGAGAGTGGGGGGTGAATTTGACTATGATATATTGTTAAGAATTTTGGTAAATGTCACAATGTACCCCCAATACAACAATAATAAAAATATGCATAAGAGTCTTTAAAAACAAGATAAATAATAAAATAGGAACACATCTCTGCAGCACAGAAAGAAAGCTTAAAGTTCATCTAGTCCAAAATCATACTTTATAGAAAAGGAACTTGAGGCTCAGATAGGTTGCATGAACTGCTCGAGGTTACACAGCAAGTGTAGAGCAAGAGGAGACAAGGCTTTCCATACAGATTGAAGCCTATTCCTATTATTCTTCTTTAGGTATTAAAAGAACTGATAGATGGGTGATCTTAACCTTCTAGTGGAATGAACTTGAACTTAAGGACCCATGAATATCTGTGAGCACTGAAACTATTAGGAAATTCCGATTGCCTCCCACATTCAGGATTTTACTTACCAGTTGCTTTTCCACTTTCAACTTATATTGTTGAGCTTCAAATTTCCTCTGAAGGTATTCAGCAGACCTTAGGAAATAAGAACGTTTGGTTTGAGTAGAATTTTTTTGGAACTGAGCAGTGAACCCAAGGCCTCACACATGCTCTACCACCAGCCCCTTGAGTAGAAATTGTAACTAGTCTTTGGTGCCAATGAGACAAGTGAATTTTCAGCTTAGTAATGGGACTCACAATTCACCTTTGGCTTGAAAGTCCAAGTTCAAGAAGTAGTTCAAAGTTCCAGAATGTTTGCACTCAGAAAGAAAATCTTTGGAATCCACTGGGGATACAGAGTGGGTTGAACAGAAAAGTATCTTGATCTAGTGGGTTTTCCACAGGTGGAGACTCAGTCCTCCCACTGTTGATGACTCATTGAGGGGAGGAAGACACACCCAGGCCCAGCTCTTCTCACACCTCTTGTGCTAGCCCACCCATACCTGCTCCCTCCTGATTTCACAAAGGTCTTCTTCCCCCCACCACCCCTGCACCACACCCTCAGCCCCTCAGGAGCCAAGTGAGAGTTAATCCCTTTTTCTTTATGCTGCTATGCAAATGCTTAGTGATCATGCTTCACCTGTCTCTGAAAATGTTGAGTCTGATCAAACCATTTTCAAACTCTGGGCCTCACACTTGCTGGGCAGGCACTCTACCAGGTGAGCCATGCCCCCACTCCTTTTTGACTGTAGTTATTTTTCACATAGGGTCTTGTGTTATTTTGCCCAGCTGGCCTCAAACTGTGATCCTCCTCCATACATCTCTCTTATAGCTGGAATTACAGGTGTGAGCCACCATGGCAGCCCTATTTTGAGGTTTATGCCATGTCCTTTCTATCCCATCTATCTTTTTCTTGTTTTAAAGGAAGTTTCTAGGCAGCCCAGGTTGTTCCTGAACTTGTGATCCTTCTGCCTCAGCCTCAAGATTGCTGGGATTACAGCAGCACAGCAACTAAGAGATAGCATAGATAAATGGGACCTCATAAAACTAAAAAGCTTCTGTTCATCAAAAGAAATGGTCTCTAAACTGAAGAGAACACCAAAGAGTGGGAGAAAATATTTGCCAGCTACACATCAGACATTCTAGACATCAGAATATATAGGGAACTTAAAAAACTAAATTCTCCCAAAACTAATGAACCAATAAAGAAATGGGCAAGTGAACTAAACAGAACTTTCTCAAAAGAAGAAACTCAAATGGCCAAAAAACACATGAAAAAATGCTCACCATCTCTAGCAATAAAGGAAATGCAAATTAAAACCACACTAAGATTCCACCTCACCCCTGTTAGAATAGCCATCATTAGCAACACCACCAACAACAGGTGTTGGCGAGGATGCGGGGGAAAAAGGAACCCTCTTACACTGTTGGTGGGAATGTAAACTAGTACAACCACTCTGGAAAAAAATTTGGAGGCTACTTAAAAAGCTAAACATTGATCTACCATTTGATCCAGCAATACCACTCTTGGGGATATACCCAAAAGACTGTGACACAGGCTACTCCAGAGGTACCTGCACACCCATGTTTATTGCGGCACTATTCACAATAGCCAAGTTATGGAAACAGCCAAGATGCCCCAGCACTGACGAATGGATTAAGAAAATGTGGTATCTATACACAATGGAATTTTATGCAGCCATGAAGAAGAACGAAATGTTATCATTCGCTGGTAAATGGATGGAATTGGAGAACATCATTCTGAGTGAGGTTAACCTGGCCCAAAAGACCAAAAATCGTATGTTCTCCTCATATGTGGACATTAGATCAAGGGCAAACACAACAATGGGATTGGACTTTGAGCACATGATAAAAGCGAGACACACAAGGGAGGTGTGAGGATAGGTAAGACACCTAAAAAATTAGCTAGCATTTGTTGCCCTTAACGCAAAGAAACTAAAGCAGATACCTTAAAAGCAACTGAGGCCAATAGGAAAAAGGGACCAGGAACTAAAGAAAAGGTTAGATCAAAAAGAATTAACCTAGAAGGTAACACACACGCACAGGAAATTAATGTGAGTCAACTCTTTGTATAGCTATCCTTATCTCAACCAGCAAAAACCCTTGTTCCTTCCTATTATTGCTTATATTCTCTCTTCAACAAAATTAGAAATAAGGGCAAAATAGTTTCTGCTGGGTATTGAGGGGGTAGGGGAGGGAGGGGGCAGAGTGGGTTGTAAGGGAGGGGGTGGGGGCAGGGGGGAGAAATGACCCAAACCTTGTATGCACATATGAATAATAAAATAATAATAAAAAAAAGATTGCTGGGATTACAGGCATGTACTACCACACTGTTATAGCTATCTTTTTTTTTTTTTAGCATGCTCAAGGCCCTGCTGTATCTTTTTTGCAGAATTTCTTGCAAAGAATTTTTGTGATTACAGGTTGCTAAATAAAACTGTCACATTTCAGATCACTGAGATCACGGTGTGAACTATGTGATAAGGCATTTTGAAAGGCCAGTAAACATCTAGGGCTCCAAAGACAGAACCACCATTTCAGACAAAACTCCCTCAGGAACATCATGAGGAGCAGTCTTAGTTTACAGAGAGTCAAGTTCAAAATCAGTCATTGAGAAGGGTGATGAAGGCAGGCACGGTGGTACGCATCTATGATCCCAGCACTGAGGTAGGAGGATCACTAGTTTGAGGCCAGCTTGGGCTACAGAGCAAGTTTAAGGCGAGCCCTGACTCAAAAAAAAAAAAAAGCAAAACAACTATAAAAGTATAATGAATGAGAAACTAGTCAAGGTCTCTGGGTTCTAGTTCCTCACCTATAATATGGACATGGCACCATTTACAGGGATGGGAGGTGGATTTGAAGAGATTAGGGCTGTGGAGCTGCCTGGCTAGTATATGACACATACAGAGTGCTTGACTCAAATGAGGGCTAAATTATAGCATTTATCCCTCTACTCAGAACCCTCCCCAAATCTTCTGACACTCCTGTCCCACGGCCTAGAATCTGAGCTCCAGCAGAAGCAGTTTTGGGGAGATGTAGAACAATGAGGTTGGGGTCACCAGTCATCAGAGGGGCATCCTAGAGGGGACAACGATGGACAGTGACACATAAGGAAGAGAAGCACTTTCCATCACTTTAAGTGAGAGCCTGGGAGATAAAATCATACATAATGACAGTAATTGCTAGTCTGACATCTCTCTTATCTAAACAAAGAGTGGAAGATATAATTTCCCAGTGAATATGAAAAGAAAAAGTTTTGTGGCTGCTTGCAGCTCACAGGTGAAATATATGTCCCTCACAATTAAGTCCTGCATGGACACTGCACTTAGAACTAATGGAATACCTAATTTTGACAATCAAGGGGGTAAACTGAAACATGTTTGATGATGGGTGAAACCATACCAGCACCCAATAGCTTTGAAAATAAGTGCCTACTTTTCCCAGCATGGATTTCTGAAAAATTTGGTCTTTTAGCATTCTTGCTTATCAATTATTGATGAGGATATCATCTCAGTCTCTTGTATTTTTCACGATTCAACCAAAATTTCACTTGCCTAGGCATTCAAGAGGCCCTGGGTTCTATTCCCATCACCACTATAAAAAAAACAACCAGCCAACAATTTCAAACTCTTAAACACAGATCTACAGGTCTATGATGAGAGTCAATTATTCTATACTGACATCAATGTAAAAAGATTTGAAAATGTAGAGCCAGGTGTGGTGGTGCACAACTGTATTCCATCCAGCTCTCCAGAGTCTGAAGCAGGAGGATTATTCTACACAGGGAGACTCCGTCTCAAAAAGCACAGTTTATTATTTTCTTTTCAATACATTTGTATTTCAAAACTCCCCAAAATATAAATGAAACCTATTTCAAAATGTCTCAAATGATCAGTTTAATAGTTCAGTTACTAATGATTATTATAATAGTCTGTTTGGAAAATGAAATAAACTCAACTTTTCTTTCCTTTTTTTCTTCCTTCCTTCCTTTCTCTCTCTCTCTCTCTCTCTCTCTTTCTCAGACAGGGTCTCACTGTGTGACCAGGTTGGCCTTGAACTCAAGATCCTCCTGCCTTACTTTCCCAGTGGTAGGATTAAAGGTGTGAGACACCATGCCTAGCCTTAAATGCAAATGTTTTAACCATCCCCCAGGCAATGGGATTCACTAGGAGTGTAGAAGGGATCAAAGGGGTTTGCATGCTTTCAGGAAACACCATGGCTGGAGTGAGAACGGTCCTCCCCAGAGCCCTGATGCCAGGAGAAAGACTATCTCTCCCTTCCAGTAGTGGCCACATAGCTAAATCTACTTATGCATACTCCTGGATTTTGTTTCATCTTTTCTGTAAATTGTAATACTGCTATGCTCAAGGTGGAGACAGATTGAGAATTTCTTCCCCCCCAACCCCAGTTTTAGCCAAAACTGTACATAAATTCATTGTTCCATTATATGTATTTTATAATAATCTAATATATTATATAATATGATATATAACAACTATATATCTATATATAATTAATATATTAATGCAGGTGAGCATTGGATCCAGAGCCAAGTTTTCTGGCTGGGTGTTCCAGTAACAGCAGAAAGAAAAAAATCAAAAATCATGCCTCCATTAATAGCTCTATGGATAAGATGTGCTACATCAAATTAAAGGCAGAAAGCAGCTAAGAGAACTGTGCATGAAGTGTCTAAAGTGAAGATTTCAGAAGTTCTCCCCCTATTATTTTATCATCATCATCATTATTACGGGGGACCATACTGGGATTTGAACTGAGGATTTGGCACTTGCTAGGCAGGCGTTCTACCACACCCTCAGCCCTTCCTCAGTTGTTTGTTTTAGGGGGATTTTGGAAGACAGAATAAAGAGTGAGGCTGGAAGATCATTTGAACCCAGATGTTCAAGACCAGCCTGGACAACACAGCAAGACCCTGACTCAGGGCAAACAAACAAGAGAGAACGTTGGTGTGTAAAGATATTTTCAGAACACTGAAGCTGAGTTAGACTAGCACATTACCATGGGGCAGGTGACGGCCGGAGCCTTTCTTCTTGGTTGCAATCCTCCTCACTTCCAGAACCTTTTGGAGGAACACCGTGACAGCTTGGCTCACGGGCTTTCTCCCTCCACAAGTCAAGTTGAGCGTGGTAAAAGTCATAATGTCCACAAGCTGCAGCAGGCTTGGCCCTTTCTGTCATTTTTATCTGAGACATTAAGAAGTGGGGACATTTTTTCAAATATATAATATAGATCTATAATTGATAACCACCACAGCTAAGGCAAGGCATTGTAAATGTAATTTTGTAGTTTTTACTGTAAACATGTTTTCAGAGTAAAGTAATCTCAGAGTCCACAAATCTTAGAGGTGAAAAGACCTTTAAGTCTAAGTAACTGTAGTGTGGTAATTTATAATTTTGCCAGGTGTGGATATTAATCACGTATGTTTCATGGCTATTGTGTGAAAAATATATAGCTAGCTACTATGCCTCTAAGATCTGAAACTATTCTCTATTTTTCGTAAACTTATTTATACCCTACTGTACCTTACAGGAAAATAAATGCTATTATGCAAGTCCAAATTTGGGGATTTAAAATTTTTTAATCTCTTTTTCTTCTCTTCTCCCTCCCCTCCCCTCCTCCCCTCCCCTCCCCTCCCCTTCTCTTTCTCTCTCTCTCTTCCTCTCTCTCTCTCTCTCCTTGCTTTTTTGAGACAGGGTCTCACTATCTAGCCCAGTCTCGCCTTGAACTCACTATGTAGCCCAGACTGCTCCCAATCTCCTAACTAATCCTTGTGCTTCTACCTTCCCAGTGCATGGACACACACAGCCAGCCTCTGTAGTTTCTGGCTATAAATTGAGTAATTGTGAAATGGTGTCATGACTTCAAGAAAAGACTCTGAGTTACCAAGAGTCAGTCCCCGCCAGAAAACATCAGCTGGGCAGGGCATATTACCACCCCCAAACTACTCTTCTCCACTCGTCCCAATCACTGATCAGAGGCCAGTGGGCTAGAAGACAGGAATCAGACCAGACCAGGTCAACAAAACCAGAGCCATCGAGACCTTGTGCTAACGAGCAAGGTATCCTCAATGTAACAGGAAGGGTGACAGCTCTACCTACTTAACCATTGTTAATAAAAGAGAAAACAAAAAACCTTTCCACACTGCTGGAAAGACCCGTGACCTGTTCGTTGGGAATATGAATAACCAAATAAATGATTAAAACTGAAATGTCCTCAGTGGAAAGAAGTAACACGCTACACTCTCTGTTCTTTTTGATACTTTATGGCTCAAATACACACGTTAGATTGAGATACTTTCATATCATTCTATTGAAATATTAAGGTAAATGTATAATATTTAATATATTAGTCTAGACATAAACTATGTGTTTACTTAAAAATTTTTTTGAGACAGGGTCACTCTGTAGCCCAGGCTGGCCTTGAACTCATAGTCTTTCTCACTCAACCTCCTGAATGCTGGGATGGCTTATTTTTAAAATCTTTCAAAGGGGATGTTGTTCTCTTCATTTTACAAATTCACCTGCATATAACCCAGAATGAACACATTTTTTAAAAAAGTATTTTTATTAGCATACATAATAGTACAAGGAGGTTTCATTTTGATGATTCCATGCATGTGTACAGTGTGCTTTGAACAAGCTCACCCCCTCTGTTATGTTCCGTTAATCCCTGATCCTCCTCCCCACTTCTCAAACGGCTTCTTTAGGATTTTCTCCAAAATCCCAGTTAGGGATGGGATCATCCAAGGTGGTTCCTATACAGATCCATTTATTTCACTGCATCAACAGTTGTTCAAATGATTAGAAAAGATATTCTTCTAGCACAATCCACCCTCAAATCTTTTGGGTTTTTTTTTCTCTTACAGGCTTGATACAGAGTACTCTGAATTACCACATACTTATTTGTTAATCCATATTTTATCAAATGAGGGGCAATAATTTAGCCAATGTTTTAAAAAATTGTTTATATATCAGCACACTTTCTAAAATGTCTGTATATCAAGTAAACATTTAGAAAACATACTTCCAAACGGTCCTCTAATTATACCACGAGCCTTTTTTAAAAGTACAATTCTTTGGGGCTGTGGCTATGGCTCAGCAGTACAGCACCTGCCTGGCATATGAGAGGCCCTGGGTTTAATCCCAGCACCACACACAAGCACAAAGCAGTGGCCAATGTATCATTTATATGCCAGAAGCATTTCACTCATGACTGAACAATTCATCACCCTGTTGAAATGGACTCAAATACCTAAGCATAAGGAATTCCAAACAGTTAATTACTTCGTAATAAAACTTTTCAATTATACATAATATGTCATTATATGACATAAGTAATAATTTACATGAAATGAACATTTTTTCTTTTTGTTTTGCTTTGCTTGTTTGAAGAAGGGTCTTGCTCTGTAGCCCAGGCTTGCTTCAGATTCTCAATCCTCCTGCCTCAGCTTCCCAAGTACTAGGATTACAGGTGGGTACCACCACACCCAGTGAAGTACAGTGTTTACTGGGGCTGTGCTACTCACCTGTCCTATATAGGAAAACCTTTTTTAGACAAAGAAATCAGAAAATTTTCAACTATATATTCAATACTTTTTATTTATTTATTTTTTGTGATACTAGGGATTGAACTCAGGACTTCACACTTGCTAGGCAGGCAGGCATTTTACTACTTCAGCCACTCCACTAGCTCCATTCAATATATTATTAAATCAAGTCATATGTGTTCTAGGGGATGTCAGTATATATGGCACATTTCATTTTAGGGTGGGTGATTAAGCTGCAATGATTTGTTTTTCTTTTGTTGGTACTAGTGTTTGAACTCAGGACCTTGGACTTGCCAGGTCTCTACCACTGGAGCCATGCACCCAGTGAAAATTTTCAGTTATAAAAAGAAAACTAATGCATAATTATAAGAGCATTCATTGGTTGTTTTTTTTTTTAAATGAGGTGTCACTAGAATGAAGTGTCATACAAAGTACACTCTAATGCTTACTACAGAATGATTTTACTATCATTACAAAACTGGTGACCTTCAAATTAATTCATGTGTAGTAATTAGCTTGCACATCAACATGTGCAGCCGGGGGTGTCAGTACACATGGCTGAAGAACCAGAGGGAGGGTTTTGACTTACACGTAAGGGCTTCTGGCGTCCAGATGGTGGTCTCCATTCGTTTCTATGTAATACTTCCTTTCTTTTAATTGGCACTGATATCCTTGATCTTGGTGGGCACTTTCCCTGGAATCTCACTTTCTGTATTTTAGAATCTTGTTTAACCAAAATAAAACAACTTCAGTTTAAAAAAGTCTCAACACCTTTAATACTGACACTTGCAAGAGTATAAACATAAGCTGCATTTCATTCACACTGAGCTACTTTACTCACAGTAAGAGAAGTGCTGGTGAAATATAATGATGCATATTCTTTGAATAGAGAAAACCATTTCTCCAGAGTTCCTTTATGTAAAGAAATATGTATTTCTAGCAGTAAATAGCACAGTATTTTTTAAATGAGGAATTAATGTCAACATTTACAGAAATAAAATAAAAATGCTTGAGAGAATGATAAAAGTAATGAAACACAGTTAGGAGCTTGGGTTGCTAAGCTGTACCATTCTTGTCTATTGTTGTTTAAATATATAAGTATGTCTTCTAAGATGTTTGTCTCCATCAATATTTGTTCTTATTTTCCAATCTTTCCTCTCCCAGAAATGTGAACAATGCACTTTCTTTCATTCTCTACTTACTTACTTTCTAAACTTTCTCAATCCAGACTGATATACAGCAATGTCAAATCAAACTAAACTTGGCAAAGAGGTTCCTCATTTTCCCTAACCTTCCTGAATTTTAGTTTCTCTACTACAGTGGATGATGGCTCCCTATCACAGATTCCTTGGAGAAATTTTCCACTTCTGCTCCTGTAAGTCCAGACATTTGGTTCTGGCTAAGTCCCACTACTGTGACTACAGCAACACTGATTGAATTCGCTTCTCTTCTTTAATGTGCACCCCTGCCCCCACACTCCACACTTCATGCCTCTGTGGATTCTTGATCCCATGACTAACTGTTCTCCAGACTTATCATTCCCATAAAATATCACCTGCTTTTTCTGGATCAATGGTCCTTACAGTGTTTTCAATTAGTTCTAAGATCCTAACTTCAGCTCCAATGGGCCTTTGCAAGAGAATTCTTACTCACCAGTTCATCCTTTCTATTTCAAAAAGAAGCCTCCTCTCATCATCTCGTGTCTGAACCTTCTCCAACTCTATGCTTTCCCCTTACAAAACATAAGCTTTGATTTAGCCTCTTTAAGCATCTCTACAAGTTGAGCTTTGTGAAGGTTTCCTGACTAATGAGAAGAAAGGAGCTGAGTTCCCTGGGGTCACTCCTGGACTAGACACACAACTTCTCAGGCACCCACTAGTCACCAGGTGAGCAGATGACTTCTCTCCTGTTTATACAATTTGTGTTTCTAAATGTCCATGTTCAATATATCTAGTGGAATTTCCCACCAATGTTGCCAGCCGTATATTGTAACCCACTGCGTGGACACATGTAATAAATACTTTCTCCTTTTTTATGTCAGTTAATGTGCTAACTTTGCAATAAGAGTTGATGGAGGCACAGCTCACATAATGGCACGAAAACCCAAGGATCATGTTTTACGAGTGAGCCAGCTTGCCTTCCTTCCTTCCTTCCTTCCTTCCTTCTGTGCTGGGGATTGAACCCAGGGCATTATACATGCTAGGCAAGTGCTCTACCACAGAGCTACACCTCAGTCCCCGTGGATGCCCTTTGATGGCATGTTTAAATTGTTCTTACCCTGGGTCTCCTTCCTTGCAGGTCGAGAGGCTAAGAATCTTGGTCTGCATATGAGCCTGTGACTGAATTCTTCACGAATAACCTAAAACCAAACACAAGTGTCAAGGACCTGCCAACCTAAATCTCTGCCAAAACAGAGTCACCTCAGAACTCACCTCGGGAGTCAAGTATTTGGCAGTAAGATTCTCTATGAAGGGTCTTTTCAGAATGGAATTAATAGACGGTCGGTCTCGAGGAGATACTTTAAAGAGCTGAGGCACCAAGGACCGTAAATCATGAGAAAACCTTGGTGATATGGGGGCAAAATGTGCTTGACAAATCTTCAGAACCAGGTGGTGTAAGCTGTTAGCCTCAAACTGAAAGGACAAGAATAATGACACTACCTGAGAGACACATTAAGTACCAGGATTAAAGTAGTAAATATTCCATGAAGTAAAAACAATATTTATTTGTTTGCTTGTTTTGCAGTGTTGGGGATCAAGCCAGGACCTTGAGCGTTAGGCCAATGTCTTAACCCTGAGCTACAGCACAAGTCTGAGCACGTTTTTTAAGCTGCAGTTACAGACCAACAGCGAACCAACAAAATAAAAAAATTTAAAAATAAATAAGCTGCAGTTAGAAGCACTAGGATTTGCTTACACCATACAGCTGTCATCAACCAGTCTCTCATAAGTAGATAGGCGGTTACTCAAAGTTATGCCGTGTTATTTGAGATAAACTTTTCAGTTTTAATTTGTTTAGTTCTAACACTGAACTACACCTTCAGTCTCTAGTTTTAACTTTTTAAACTAAAAATGTTTTCTTTAATTTTAATTTGATTATTACCAAAATCATATTTACACATTTAAAAATTGGAAGATATAGGAAATTATACGCAGAAAAATATATTCCACCACCCAGAGGTATATTTCTTTCCAGTCTTTTCAAAAATGTTTATTTTACAGAGTTAAAGGCATACCGATAAGAAATTTCACTTCATGCTTTTTAAAACTTAATGCAATATAAACATTTCCTCAAAAATTTCTCTTAAACTAGAAAATCTTCCACCTATGAAGGCAACAGTTATTAGACATCACAGTAATGTTCAACATCTTGGTTTGGCAATAAAAGCACAGGTTTTGGTGCAACCTTAGATGATAATAATAAGAGCTGGCACCAGGGGCTCCCACCTGTGATCCTAGCTACTTGGGGGGCTGAGCTTGGAGGATCGCAGCAAGTAGTTCCCAAGACCCCATCTCCAGAGCAGAATAGACTGGAGGTGTGGCTCAAGTGGTAGAGCAACTGCTTCACAAAAGTGAAGCCCTGAATTCAAACCCTAGTCCCACCAAAATAATAATAATAATAATAATAATAATAATAATGGCAAAGCTGCATAGAAAGGTGTTGGTAGGCAGGCTATCCTTACATAGACCTGGTGATAATGTTGGCCCTTGGCTGATGTATGGGGCTTTCAATTTGACCCAGTTCTATCCCTTAAATGTTAAGAGTGGCTCTCTTTGCCTAATGTATTTGTGCAAACAATATGGTTTCTGTTGAACACTTGGTTTCCTTCTGGGAGTCTAGAGGTTTGGTGTATACCAGACAGATGGCACCTGTGTAAGCAATTTCCCAATAAAACCATGGGTGTGCCGGGTGCCACTGGCTCACATCTGTAATCCTAGCTACTCAGGAAGCAAAGTTCGAAGCCAGCCCTAGGCAAATAGTTCAAGAGACCCTATCTGAAAAATAGCCAACACAAAATAGGGCTGGTGGAGTGCCTGAAGTGGTAGAGCCTAGCAAGCGTGAGGTCCTGAGTTCAAATCCCAGTACTTCAAAAAAATGGATTTTGGTACCTAGTGAATTTCCCTTGCAGATAACACTTCACACTCATCATAGCTTGTTGCTGGAGGAAACAGCACATCCTGTGTGACACTCGTATGTGACCACTGGAAAAACTCTTAGAAGCTTGTGCCTGATTTCCTACAGACTCTGACCCATGTACCTTCATCATTGCCGAATATGTGAGTGTACAATTCATTTTTAATGGAAACATGATATACTTACTATTCTCCAGCTTAGACTTTCTACTTTATAATATTACTTGGACATCTTCCTATGTCAAAACAGATGTCTCTCTATGTTGTCCAGTTGGCCTCAAACTCCTGGGCCCAAGGAATCCTCCTGCCTCAACTTCCTGAGTAGCTGGGACCACCACCATGCCTGGCTACTTTTTACAGTTTTTAACAATCCCATAAAACCAAACATTAAGCTTTTTCTCTAAGAAGTTAATTTCACATATAAAGTCTCAATAATTCAATATTAAGTTGATGATCAACATACTTACAGGATGCTTGAGTGTGCAAAGCTCATATAAGACGCAGCCCAGAGACCAAATATCCCTAGGGAAGAGAAGAGTTTAAGTGACAAGCAAATGTCCATGTTTGCTTTACTTTTAGTAAAAGCTTTTGCCCTCACAATGTAGCTTTACTTCACATAGGCTGCTCAGCGCTTACAAATGCTTCCAGATACCCCATCAGTTCTAAGGTAAGAAGTCAAACAGGTTGTCAGAATCTTAGCAGACAAAGCTACAAACATTGCTTCAATCCAATGGCTCAGAAAATATGTGTCTCCCAAAAAACTAGATAGCATTTGTTGCCGTCAACACAGAGAAACTAAAGCAGATACTTTAAAGTGACAGAGGCCAATAAAAGAAGGGGACCAGGAACTAGAGAAAAGGTCAGTTTGAGAAGAATTAACCTAGAAGGTAACACACATGTACAGGAAAGAGATGCGAGTCAACTCCCTGTATAGCTATCCTTATCTCAACTGTCATCAAAAACCCTTGTTCCTTCCTATTCTTATACTCTCTCTTCAACAAAATTAGAGATAAGGGCAAAATAGTTTCTGCCTGGTAGCGAAGGGGTAGGGGGGGAGAGGGAGGGGGCAGGGTGGTTAAGGGAGGGGGTGGGGGAAGGGGGGAGAAATGACCCAAACATTGTATGTACATACGATAAAAAAAAAGGATTTAAAAAAAAAAAAAAAGAAAATGTGTGTCTGATGGAATTTTGGGAAAGACTCCAACTTGGATTTGCTGTGATTCAAAATGTGGATGGCTTTCTTTTCTTTTCTACATTAGCATTTGTCAACTGTACAAAGGGACTTTGCTGTGATATTTCCACATGTGTGTATAATATACTTCGATCAAATTCATTCCTTCTGGTATTTTTCTTATCCCTACCCCTCTTATTTACAGTTTTTGGTGGTTCTCATTATGCTGTCTTCTTACATTCATGTAATGTGTTTCAATCATAGTCACCTCCCACCACTCATCCTTTCCTTCTCTCCTCTCTCGCTGGTTTCTCCCTGCAGAGAGTACCCCTTTTACATTCTTGTCATAGTATTTCTTTTCATGTCTAGATTCTGCAGATGAAAGAAAACATGTACTATTTGTCTTCTGAGCTTGGCTTATTTCACTCAACATGATAATCTTTAGTTCCATCTATTTTCCTACACATAATTTCATTCTTCTTTATGACTGAATAATACTCCATTGTGTATACAGATAAATTGTGATTGACTTTCAAAGGTTGATATTCTACTCAAGGCTCTTGACAGAACCAAAGTAATATTTAGTGATGAATACAGTAGCTGGCTCCCAATAAACATCTGAAATTAAACATGTACTTACAGCATATATCTACAACTTTGCTCTTTACAGACTTACCTTTTCAGTGGTGGTGCTGGGGAATCAACATAGGACCTTGTGTATTCCAGGCAAGTTTTACCACTGAGTTACACCCTGAGCTCCTTTTAGTAAATACTGATATACATAAATATTGATTGGTATAAGAAGGAGCTATTTTATAGAACATAAAGAAATCTAAGATGTTGAAGAGATCTTTAGAGAAGTAGAGCTGGCTGGTGTCTCAGTGGTAGAGGACATACTTATCATTCCAGAGGCCCTGGATTTCATCCCCAACACAGGAAGGAAGGAAGAAAGGAAGGAAGGAAGGAAGGAAGGAAGGAAGGAAGGAAGGAAGGAAGGAAGGAAGGAAGGGTAAGAATCAACTAAATCAGATCTTTTCGGTCAAAGAGCTAGTTCAATCAGTAGAGCATGAGATTCTTAATCTCAGGGTCCTGGTTTTAACCCCCTTTCCCCGCAGTATCACGCTATGGAATATGTCTGTCATTGTGTGGATATTAGCTAATTTCCCCAGTTGTCTATGTGGTTGGTGGCATGTCCCCTGGCTGTAAAATTTCTGCCTTTAAGCAGAGAATTGTTTGTCATTGGATGTCCTAAAACTCCAACTGCTAGTTTTAAGATAATCATTATCAAAGGAATCTCTGCTTCAAGGTCCCCCTGGCCCATGGTTAATTATATACTTGGTGCTGCCATTTCAAGTCAGTCATTTCAAGCCCAGTTTCCCCAGAATCTTAGAATTCCTGCCTTATGGGTCACCTCCTTGTCTTTGAGTACACCAACCAAATTAAGTTTCTGTCCATGCTCTCCAATCATGTTTGCTCTTCCCCTGTGCCCCCTCCAAACCTCAATCTTAGCCACTCGTGACGATTGTGAACCTAAACCCATCCATCAGGGTGAGGGGCAGATGTGCATGAGAGAAAAAAACTGAGCGGACTTCCTGCTCAGTGTGTGCTGGTTTGCCTGACTTAGGTAAGAGGTACACACACCTTTCTGCAGAAGTAAATTTTGCTTTGTCCATCAACTTTCAAGTGTGTGTGTGATTTGTGAATGTGGCAGCACATGATATTTCTAATGGAAGGAAGGATGGAAGGGAGGGAGGAAGAAAGAGACAAGAGACTCCACTAGTTGGCAACACTGTGTGTGTGTGTGTGTGTGTGTGTGGTGTGTGTGTGAGAGAGAGAGAGAGAGAGAGAGAGACAGAGAGAGAGACAGAGACACAGGGAGAGAGACTTACAGAAGAAGATTGAGTACAGTAGAGAGTGAATTGGTAGCAACAAATCTGAGCTGCTTTCTAGAGTTTCTAGAAACTCGGTGCCCATCCATTTCTCACTAGATGAATTTTGTTTCCTAGGTCTTCCACAGGCCCTAAACTTCTGTTGTCAGAGCTCCCTCTGGGGCTGGTATAGTGAAGTCACATGTCTACAGCCACCTTGGGGCTTGGTGGGGGCCATTTGTACCTGGTTCCACCTCTGTATGTGAGGACTGTACTAAGGAGAACCACTGGGTAGTTTGCTGGTCTAACTGACCCAAGGCTCCACAGCTGATCATTCCAATTCTCAAGCACCAAATCTGCATGTTTTAAAGTCTTTAAAGATTTAAATGTGGATTCAAATTCTTAAAAGCATTGCGAGGGAAAAACAATGCTGCTGACCCAGAGCCCGTGGCCCTCTCGATGGTCTGTCCTCCCTCCAGCACTTTCTGGCCTAAGTCACTGCATGACCCAAAACCAATCTGAGGCCAAATGCCCAGGGCTAGGAGATGTCTCCAAAAATGAGTGGCTGGTGGTGCAGCTCAGTGGCAGAGTGTGGGAAAGAAGGGCCTTGGGTTCAACTCCCAGCACCAAACAAGCACACACAAATGTCTCTACCATCTGTGGGATAGCCCACAGATGCTATCCCAAGCAATGAGTAATTAACTCCTGGAGGGAACCTAGCCTTCTAGTTCAACTTGTCCACTGGCAGTCAGCTTTGAAAAATAAAATTTTTTTCTTTCTCTTACCTGGAGGTAGAAACTAAGAAACTTTGTCTCTTATTACTATATATATATATATATTATATATATATATATATAGGCAAAAGACAAAGTTACAATTCGGTTTAAAGATCTCAATAGGATCTCCCTTCCTTCCCTCCCTCCCTCCTTCCTTCCTTCCTCCCTTTGTTGTTGGTACTGGGGATTGAATTCAGGGCCTCGTGCCTTGAGCCATGTCCCTAGTTCTTTTGTTTTTAGCATGTTTTTCAGATAGGCCCTCACTAACTTTTGCCTAGGCGAAAGATCTTCCTGCCTCTGCCTCCTGAGTAATCTGTCTGGGATTATAGACATGAGCCACCATGCCCAGCCCTTAGATTTAGTTTTGATCATAGAATAGGATAACATTTCATTCCACAAAACAGGATGAGTAAAAATAAAATAAGGCTGAGGATGCACCTTAGAGGCAGATCTCATGCTTTGCATGAATGAGGTTCTGAGTTGGATCTCTAGCACCACACACACACACAGACACACACTCTGAAAATAAAACACAAAGATAGACATCACAGTGACTGCCCTTTTCAATGTTATTCTTTATCACTTGTATCAAATGAAGAGAAACGGCTCTGCTCTAAGTAAGTTCAAAACCTTCAGGGGGCACTGGTCACAAATGGTGACTGGGGTTTCCATTTCATAAACAGAGAAAATGGAACTACAAAAGTACAGAAGAGATTAGGACTTCAGTTTCTGGAGTCTTAATTCAGTATCACTCATCAGATTTTACTGATGACATTTTCAAAATCAATAGTCAGCAACTCACGTTTTGTTGTTGTATGGCTTATTCTGACAGATCTCCGGGGACAGGTAATAAGGTGTTCCAACACAAGTTCGAGCAAATTCCATGGAACTAGTAAATTATATTAAATAACAAAATATTATGGCTTATTATTGGAGTAAGAAAGGCATAAGACATGAATATGCATGAAAAATGTAAATGATAACAAAACCTACTTTATGCATATATTAGAAGAAAGCAAGGCATTGCACACTGATAAAATCAGTAGATTTTGACTTTATACTATCCCTCAAAATTTACACATTAAAATATATGTATAATTAAAAAAGCATACCCTGGGGCTGGGGATGGGGCTCAATGGTAGAGCAAATACCTAACATTTACAAGCACTGGGTTAGATCCCAGCACTACAAACTGTTACATGCTGGTTGGAAGTGTTGCAGGCCGGGGTCGAGGGTCCTTGCCTTCACAAGCCAGAGACCTGGCTTGTGAGGCAGCTGACTGACTTGTGAGCCAAAGTCCATATACAAGTAGGATTTATTAGAGAGAAAGGAAAGGCTACAACTACAGCAGTGCAGTGGAGCCCAGAAACCAGCAGCTCTCTGCTCAGATGAAGACTGGGGCTTTTATGGACGTTTAACTCTGGGTTTGGGTAAGGGTTAGGTGAGCTCTCCTCATTGGCTGTGCGTTCCCGGGCTTTCGTAGGTGAACTGGTTTGTTTTGCCCTTATTGGGGGGCAGAGGGAGACAATCTGGAGAGCATTTTGCTCATCAGCCCTGTGGATGCAGGAATGCAGGTTTACAACTCTCAGGATGCAGGAATCACAGTGCTCTCCATGGGGGATTGGATACTCATTCATCTGCATTAGGTCTCCAGACCCAACAAAACTACCACTAATAATAACTACGACACATTTTATGACTAAACAACTCCACAAAAAGATACAATTGTTATACCATAAACATTTCTCAGATATATGCCAGGCATAGTGCATGCCTGTAATCCCAGGATTTGGGAGACTGAGGCAGGAGGACATCAAGTTTGAGGCCAGCCTGGACTACATAGTGAGACCCTGTCTAAAAACAACAAACTCTCTCCCATAGAGAAAGACTCCTTTCTTCCCAATTCTCAAAGGAATGCAATCTCATGCTCTAAAATGCCTAAAGAAATAGGGCTGGCGGTGTAACTCAGTGGTAGAGCACTTGCCTAGTACATGCAAGGCACCATCAAATAAAAAAAAGAAAAAAATAAAGATGAAAAAAAGTTGCCCAGAGTTTTAGTCCCCAAAATGACTATTATTAAAATTCTGATATATTTCCTTTCCCTGTCTCTTTTCCATGCATGTTTTTGACATAGCTATGATCATAGAGTATAATCCAGAATTCTATTTTCTTAGTGTAACAAAGTATTTACTTACGTTACTAAGAAGTCTTCAAAACTGTGTTTTGTGACAATCTATTGTATTTAGATTCATAGTTTTGTCATGTTTTATTAAATTGAACCATTTCTCAACTCAATTTTCCAAGTATTCCCTTGGAACAAATTTCCAGAAATAAGACATTTTAAAATCTCTTAATATATATTACTACCAAATTGTCTTCCTGACCAGTTGCACATTTCCTAGCAAGAATAAACCTGCCTGCTTTTGTAAATTTTCACTTCGTGCATATTATAGTCACATCTTATGTTTGACAAATTTCTATCATACTATACAACATCTATCATGCCACAATTTATCTTGGGGATTTTAATCATGGCTCTCTGAGTTATTTAATGCTCTTATACAAAGTTACCTAAAATTATTTGAACAACCAAGCTTTTGATAGCTTCATTTTTTCTGGATTTTTAAATTTTTTATTATTGTCTTACTTGAGGTACACTGTGACATTTAAAGAATTTTTTACAATTTATCATAGTTGGAGTCACCTCCTCCATCATTCTCCTTTATCCTCCCCCCATTCCTCGAATAGTTTCAACAGGTCTCATTTTTCCATTTACATACATGTGTACCAGAATATTTCCATCATATTCACCTCTGATCCCTTTTACTTATATTCTCCCACCACATGAGTCCCCACCCCTAAGGGAGGACCTGTTTTGCCTTCCTGTTTCCTGTTTTTGTAAAAAAAAAAAAAAAAAATGGCATTTTTGTTGGTTTAAGATAGCTATACAGGGTGTTTCATTGTGACATTTCATGTATATATGTATTATAACCTAAATTGGTTCATCTCTATTTTTCTCCTTTCTACCTTAGTCCCCTTCTTAAGGTGTTTCAACAGGCTTAAAAATTCTATATTCATTCTTGTACAGGAAGCACATCAACCAACCATGCTCATCTTCTTTCTTAATTTGTGATACTTCAAAATGCATACTTTACCTTTTTTGAACAGAAAATAAATGATTTTGTGAGTACTCACTGATTTAGGACTCTTGCTATGCCAAAGTCCCCAAGCTTTGCAACTGTATCATTCTTGCTAAGAAAAATGTTCTAAAAATGGAGAGAGTGTCATATTATTTAAGATATTTCAAGAAAAGAAAAGACTCATTCTGTCAGAGTCTGTTTTCTGTGGTGTTACCTGAGCTTTTATGTCCCGGTGTAATATCTTCCTATCATGAATATGTTTTAGTCCTAGAGAAATCTGTACAAACCAACCCAGGATCTGTTGAGGGAAACACAAAACAAAACTACTGAATAGTTTGCTAGTCATGGTAATGTCTGCATGATAACAATCAAAAAGAGAGAAATAATGTGTTGTGTGTGTGTGTATTTATAGGAATGAAGCTAATAGATGGACCTTATATTATTTTCATTTACAACTAGAAAAATAGAGGCACAGAAAGGCAATCAACCCAGGCATAAAGTGAGACCCTATTGCAAAAATAACCAATGCAAAAAGGACTGTGGTAGTGGTTCAAGCAAGCTTGAGGCCCTGAATTCAAACCCCGGTGGGGGACTGGGGAGGAAAAGAGAGAGAGAAAGGCAATTCAAATATCATTGGGCAAAGGGAATTTCACATGCAGAAAAACACAGATAGAAGCAAAGGAGGCCATTCATTCATTTTCTTTTCATTTTCTTATTTAACAACTGGGTTGCCAAGTGCAAGTACACAGCTTGTCTCCTATTCTTGAGGCCCCAGATAACACTGGTGCTGCTGAGTTTTCCTTCTCAGTGGATGGGTGTCAAGGACAGGGAAAGAAAGAGAAAGAAGTGGAGAATCTATGAAGTTATTAAAAATTGTAATAAAATATCTGTATATATAGCTAATATAAAATCAACAAATATTTACTTTTAAAGCTCAGTTTTGGGCGGGGACACAGCTGATAGGAGAGTACTTGCCCAGCTTATGGGAGACTGTATTATTCTACCCCAGCACTGAAAAAATAAAAAGTCCACTTTGTTTTCCTTTGTTGAGGTAATGAGGATATTAACTTTATTTCTTAGTCAGGATTTTTATTTTGTCTTAGTTGGCTGTGAGCCTCTTTATTAAAATGTGTTCTTTGGAGATTTTTTTAAACTACTATAACATTTTACTTACTCTTTGTCTGCCAAATTATACAGGAAGAGGAGCATAATAGAAAAAAGGCTGTACTCCAGACATTAAGATTCTGTTGTCATTTGAGTCCTTTCTCAACAAAAGGAAATGTAATTCAAAATTTTGTCATGAGAAGCATTTTTATAAAATGTGGCAAAATAATACCTAGATAAGAAAAAGGAGGGTTTCTATAAATATGGATGAAATTTAATACATAATGTAAATGAGCATAGGAAGAATGCATGATTAAATTTACAGAGGTTAGAGATATTGATTCTTTAATTATTCATACGTTCAAAATATTCAGCCTTAACTCCAGAAGGAGATTATACAGGAGTGCTACTCTTCAATGTTAAAATAGAACAAAGAAATAAATAGCAAAAAAAAAAAAGATGGCGGGCCATTCCTGTGTGCTGCTTGAGGCAATTGCCTTACCCATCAATCACACGGGCCCTAATTTGGTTTCTTCTCCACACACATACCTGTGTCCTTTAAAGAACAACTCCCAAGAGGATTCCAAAGGAAGCTTGGCATATGAAGAAAAAATGTGTTTGTACAAAGAGAAAATGGGAATTGAGGCCATTGTTTGTCACTTTTCTGCCCCTCTTTTTTTTTCGTGGTGCTAGGGGTCTTGCACAGGCTAAGCAAGTGCTCTAACACTTGAATCATTCCCCATCCCAATTCTTAATAACAACCAATGAAACTAGGGTTGTAGATGTAGTTCTGTGCTAGAGTGCTTGCCTAGCATGTTTGAGTCTTAGATTCAATTAATACCTCAAAAGGAAAAGAAGAAGGAGAAGGAGAGGAAGGAAGAAAAAGAGGGACAAGAAGAAGGAGAAGAATGAAACTGCTGGCCATGGTGGCCCACACCTGTAATTCCAACACTCTGGAGGTTAAGGGTGGAGGATCATGAGCTCAAGGCCAGCCTGGGTTACAGAATGAGAACTTGTTTCCAAACAACAACAGAAAGAACCAGAGAAATTAAGTAGGCATTGCTAAGAAGTTTTATCCTACCTAGCAATGTCTGAAACTATTTTAAAACAGAGTGCAATGGTAAAAGAAAAAAGAGTGAAACTATAAACATGTCATATTTTAGACATGAAGTCATTATGTCAGAGGCATTCTACGTGAGATTACGTCATCTCAAAGAAAGAAAACGTCAATCTCAAAGACAGATTCTATTTCAGTTTAATTGCAAGCATGTTCTAGATTAAATCTACCAAGAATAGTGATCTAGTATTTTATGGCTTGAATTTCTCTACCAAAAGTATGTTTCTTATAAACAGTCTACTATGTATGACATTATAAATTTAATACCCCCACATACATATTAAAGTTTTTTTAAAAATTAGTGTTTTTACCTGATTTTCACTAAATAACACTCCCCGTTGGCGGTGGATCCTTTTCATGAGATCTCCTCCATCACAATACTCCATCACAATAAACAGTCTGCTGCTCTCTGTAAGAAAAGGCATTGTCTGGTGCTGGAACAGTTTCAGATGCAATAGGAAAATGCAGTACATAACTGCTCAAAATGCTGGCTGTGACATCAAGATGAACTGGGTTCTACTCCCAGTTCACCACTAACATTTGTTTTTTTTTGAAACAGGGTCTCATTATGTAGCCCAGGCTGGCCTGGAACTGGCTGTGCAACCCAAGCTTGCCTTGAACTTGCTATCCTCCTGCCTCAGCCTCCCTGAGTGCTGGGACAGCAGGTGTGTCTCACCACACCCAGCCACCACTTATATTTCTTAGCTCTGCGACTATGGATAAATTACTTCAATTTCTCCGTGCCTCCTTAACTCATCTGTAAAATGGAAATGATAATAGAGAAACTTCCTGTCAGGATTGTTGGAGAGATTAAATGAGTTGATCCATGCCAAATGCTTAGAACCATGCCTATGCATACTGAGAGTTCACTAAACGTTAATTATTACTATTAACACACTCCTACAAGAAATTAGAAATGTACTATAAAAATAGCAGCTGTGAGTTAAATCTTTCCCAACACCCCAGGAAGAATTAATAGCTCCTTTCTGAATTAGCATATAAACTTGTCTGGCATTTAATTCAACCATGCTGTTGATGCAGTAGCAACTCTAGTACCTGCTACCTGACCTCTTCACTATACAGCTGTCACTCTCATTACTGTAAGCCGTTACCAGCATCCCAATAGCACTGTCCTTGCTGCTTCTTTTACAAAACATTCCCATTTTGCACCCATTGATTCATTTGCATCCATTCATTCATCAAAAAGCTTTCACCAAGGACATGTTTGTTTTTGTTTTTTTCATTTTTCTTTTATTATTCATATGTGCATACAAGGCTTGGTTCATTTCTCCCCCCTGCCCCCACCCACTTCCTTACCACCCAGTCCGCCCTCTCCCTCTCCTCCCCCCCCAATACCCAGCAGAAACTATTTTGCCCTTATTTCTAATTTTGTTGTAGAGAGAGTATAAGCAATAATAGGAAGGAACAAGGGTTTTTGCTGGTTGAGATAAGGATAGCTATACAGGGCATTGACTCACATTGATTTCCTGCGTGGTGTTACCTTCTAGGTTAATTCTTTTTGATCTAACCTTTTCTCTAGTTCCTGTTCCCCTTTTCCTATTGCCTCAGTTGCTTTAAGGTATCTGCTTTAGTTTCTCTGCGTTAAGGGCAACGAATGCTAGCTAGTTTTTTAGGTGTCTTACCTATCCTCACACCTCCCTTGTGTGCTCTCGCTTTTATCATGTGCTCAAAGTCCAATCCCATTGTTGTGTTTGCCCTTGATCTAATGTCCACATATGAGGGAGAACATACGATTTTTGGTCTTTTGGCCAGGCTAACCTCACTCAGAATGATGTTCTCCAATTCCATCCATTTACCAGCGAATGATAACATTTCGTTCTTCTTCATGGCTGCATAAAATTCCATTGTGTATAGATACCACATTTTCTTAATCCATTCGTCAGTGCTGGGGCATCTTGGCTGTTTCCATAACTTGGCTATTCTATTCTAACAGGGGTGAGGTGGAATCTTAGTGTGGTTTAATTTGCAATTTCCTTATTGCTAAGAGATGGTGAGCAATTTTTTCATGTATTTTCTGGCCATTTGAAATTTCTTTTTTGAGAAAAGTTCTGTGTACGTTCACGGCCATTTCTTATTGGGTTCATATAGTTTTGGGAGAATTTAGTTTTTTAAGTTCCCGAGGTAGATTCTGGTTATCAGTCCTTTGTCTGATTTGTTGGCAACCTATTAGTTCTCCACTCTGTGGGGTGTTCTCGTTCAGTTAGGACCATTTCTTTTGATGACAGAAGCTTTTAGTTTTATGAGTCCCGATTTAATCTAATGCTATCTCTTAGTTGCTTGTGCTGCTGGGGTTCATTGAGAAAGTTTTTACCTTACCTTACTAACTCCAGAAGTATTTCCTACTCTTTCTTGTATTCAACTTAAGAGTTTGGGGTCTGATAATTAAGATCCTTGATCCATTTGAAGTTAATCTTGGTATAGGATGAATATACATGGATCTAGTTTCCAGTTTTTGCATAGAACGCTAAACCAGTTTTCCCAGCAGTTTTTGTTGAAGGAGGCTGTATTTCTCCATCGCATATTTTTTACTTCTTTGTCAAAGATAAGTTTGTTTATATTGTGTGGCTTCATAATCTGGGTCCTCTATTCTGTTCCAACTGGTCTTCATGTCTGTTTTTGTGCAGTACCCATGCTGTTTTTATTGTTATTTTTGCTTTGTAATATAGTTTAAGTCAGGTATTGATACTCCTGCATTGTTCTTTTGACTGAGTATTGCCTTGGCTATTCGTGGCCTCTTGTGTTTCCATATAAATTTAACAGTAGATTTTTCAATCTCTTTAATGAATGTCATTGGAATTTTGATGGGAATTGCATTAAACATGTAGATTACTTTTGGGAGTATCCAAGGACATGTTTTAAGAAAGGAATGGAGTGCCCTAGCGCTGCATCGGAAGAGAACAAGCCATTCTTCCTGCCAGTAGGGAATCACTAGAGACAAATGAGAAGTGCTGTAGTGGAGTCTGCCTGCTCCGGGTGAGGGAGGACAACAGAGAGGGTGAGTGAAAGTCAGACCCGAGATTCAGGAAGGCTTGGGAGAGGACACTTCCTGGTACCCCCTAAGGTCTAGAGATCAGATTTATTTTCAGGAATGCATTGCTTTAAGGAGAACTGATACTAATAGCTAAGCCATCAAAGGGCCATCCTAGCAATGAAAGGATGGCAATTTCAAAGTCACAGGAGAATCAGGAGAAGGAAACCAAGGAGGAAAGTTTCCAGTTCTCTTCCTTCCCACCACCCTCCACTTATTCAGCTTTACAATGGCTTTTGGTGAAAGAAGGAGACTGATTCAGAATTAATCATGGCTAAGCCTTCTCAAAAAAAGGCTCGGGTCAACGAGCATTATCAAGCTCTAAAATAAGCACTTTCTCCATTAGCCACTGTTAATTTCGTATTTAATAGGGTTAGAACTGTACTCTCAAATGTTGCATCTGTTTAAAGTAAAAGCTGTAGGAGGAGAGAAAAGGAGCAGGAAGCAATTCTTGTCCTCAAGGGGCTCCCAGTCTACTGAGGGAAGTAAAGACCATCACGAGCACAATCTATATTGTAAATGTCAATGCAGAGCAACAGTGAGAGGAATCGCTTTAACTTTGGAGGTGGGATCTGCATTCACTCTTTAAAGATGTAGAATATTTAAAATGTGGAAAGGGGGAAATGTATACCCCCAAAAGGAAATCAAGGCAGTAGTTTCTGGACCTGTACACCTCATGGACCATTGATTGATCTTTCAAGATCAATTGCAGGGCACTGACATTAGGGTTAGGGTTGCAACCTTTTCATTTGCCAAATTCCAACATTTGTTAAGCCATTGCTATAATTAATTTATTCTAAAATGTACTTTGTAAAAACCAAAATTGGGCTGGTAGAGTGACTCAAGTGATCAGTGTCTGCCTAGAAAGTATGAGGCTCTGAGTTCAAACCCTAGTGCAATGAAAGAAAAAAAATCAAAATTGTGTCTTACAGATATTGGCATCTTCCAATCAACTGCTACATCCATCAATCTTAATGTTTTCATTACCCACATAACTGTTAGAACATCTTAATCAATTTTATCTGCTTATATTTCCTTTGTATGTATGCATGAAAATAATATAAAATAAAACTGCTTAAATAAAAGAGTTCTTTCATTCCTATAAAATAAAAATCATGGATTGGGGATGTAGCTCAGTGATGGAGTGCTTGCTTAGCATGCAGAAGACCCTGGTTTCAATCCCCAGTGTCACCAAAAAAAAAAAAAAATCATGAGTACAAAGAAGCATTGTGTCACAGTCTAGTTGATAGTATTTTATTTCTAATTAGCAATAATGGTGCATCTTCTAACCAATGGCATCTTTTGGTTTTATGAAATGATATCTCATCCATTATCACCATAATTCCATAAAATAAATGAGCATCAAAAATCTAGAAAGTAAACAATACCAAAAAAAAAATCTATGTATCTCTTACTAGTTTCCTCTTGTTCATTGTACTGTGTCCACGTTGACATCACTCAAAGTTTTATGAAGGGTCTGAGATTCTACCCTACTTATTACCTTGTTTCTATTTCGTGGGTACTGGCAAAAGACATGAGAACCTTGGGTCAGAGATTAGAGAGATTATTCCCGTTGGCAAGAGCGGTAGCCAGAGCTTCATGTTGGCACTGGTTCCCTGTGTCCCTGAAGGCAACACAGGTGGGCCCACATGGGCACCTGCACATGGAACGGGCCCCATTACAGGACAGGGCCACTGAGCTGGGAGAAATGATCACTTTTACAGGGACCAGTAGACAAGCCTGCTCCATCTTTGGAGCGATGTCAGCTCATCTTCCTAAGTCTCTCACTGCAACCAAGTTCTGAGAAATGATCCAGGTAGACATCTGGCCCATTTCTGCTTTGGCATCTCCAGCAAAAATGAACAGAGATGCTCAGTGCCCCTAGCAAACTGCCTCTCCCACAAGCCTGCTGGCAGGTCCTATAGCATGTCAGGCTTACTCTTACCTCATGCCTTTGTACTGGTTGTTCCTTAGCCTAGAAAGTTCAAGACCTTAACAGGATTCTTTCCCCATCTCCTCCAAATATTTGCTTCATAATAAGGCCCATCCTGGCTGCCCTATTAAAAAAATTACATTCCCAACTCTACCTTGCCCCATCCTATTTTTCAAACACAATGCACTTACCACCTTTAATATACTAAATAATGTATTCACTAATTTAATTATGATTACATTTCTCATCCATCTCTCCCTGTTCTCTGCCCTTCAAGAATGTAAGCTCCACAGTAAAAGGCAGACTTCTAGGCTGACTATGGTGCCCACACTATGTATAACTGTCTCTCCTTGAGTGAGGCCAGAACCCATAGCATGATGGGCTATCACTCCTCCTCCGATTTGTTATGTAACATACCAATGGTATGTCATTAAAGTTTTTGCCAATGTCTTTAAAGTTACTAAGCAGTTGATTTGAGTAAATCAAAAAGTTTATCCAAGTAGGCCTGAGTCAATCCCATGGGCCATTTAAATCTGGGTCTAGAAGTCAGAGACTGAGAAAGTGAGAGATTCCCAAGTCTATTAAGGAGGCCATATGGCATGGCATAGAGGTTCACCTCTTAGGGTAGAGATAATCCTCTAATAAGCAGCCAACAAGAAAGTGGGAACATAAATCCTTCAACCGAAAGTAATGAATTCTGTCATCAACCTAAAAACACTTGGAAGAGGCCCAGGAGCCACAGCTGAGATAGCAAGCAGTCCCAATGATACCTGGATTCCAACTATGTGAAGCCATGAGCAGAGAATTCTGCCAAGTCAAGTCCAGACTTTTCTGACCTATAGAAATTAAGAGACAATACTGGAGAACCCCCACTCCCCCCAAAAAGGGAGAGAGTACATCTGTGTCATTTTAAGCTAATAAATTTATGGCTATTTATTACACTACAATAGAAAACAAACACAACAGTGCAGAAATTTTTGTCTATTTTATTCACTCATAGATTTCCACATACTAGAATATGCTTAGCACATAAACAGTTAATGGATATTTACTGATGGAGTTGATTTAGCCTAAGGAAAATGCTACTATATTCTCCTTATCTTTCTTGTTGCTTCAAACTCATAAAAACCTCTTCATAGAGAAACAGTAGAGCCATGGTTCTTGTGGTCAGAGATAAGCTGTTTCAGCATCAACAAAGCCTGTATTTACACTCTCACAGTCAGGTGCACAAGTTGCACAAGTCCCTATGAGGCTTTGGATGAGGCTGGTGTTTCAAGTACCAACAATCTGCCACGCAAACTCACAGGCATCATGATAGCTCTCGTTTTCCCAAACACAGGAGTGCTTGCGCTACTTAAAACAATAACAGCAACAAAGAGCAGTCATAAGAACACTTAAACTTACAAGAGAAGTCAACTCACAGAGGTTACTTATACTATAAAAATGACCTTAGTTTTATAAGGACATCCAGTGTAGAATGTCCTCAAAAGTCCATTTCCATGGAATAAAGAAATAGTCCAGTGTACTGAAGTGGTTCAGACCTTTCACTCACTTAGCAAATAAGTGTTGAGCATTTTTTATGTGCCACATATTCAGGACCAAAGTGTGAGCAAAAGACATAGTCCCAAAGTTCATTAAATTTACTGTGTGCATTTCTCATGTGTGTGGTGCTAGGGATCGAACCTAGGGCATCACACATGCTTGGCAAGTGACCTATGACTGAGCCACATCCCCAGGCTTTACATTTACTGTCTGAAGGAAGACACATAGCCAACAATTTGTAATCATGCATATAAACAGATACACATCCATAAGTAGAAAAGTGTGTGGAAGATCAGAAAAGGGACTATAGTTTGACTTGTGAGTTCAGGGAAGACCTGAGAGGAGTGGGATTCAGCTAGACAAACAGTCACAATAATAACCAAAAAGAAGAAGAAAAGAGAGTCTCACTGTGTTAGGAGTCAATGGACAGGAAGGTAAGGTACTTTATTCAGTGGCGGTCTCTTTAAGCTGTCCTGCACTGGGGGTGTGCCTCAATGGTAGAGCTCTTGCCTAGCATGGGCTGGGTTCTGAGTTCCATCCCCAGCACCACACACGCACGCACACACACACGCACACACATGCGTGCATTGTTCAATACAACTCAGTGCTCTGCCCACGTGTACTGCTCTGTTCCCTATTCCCAGAAAGAGCTCAGAAGAGTCCCAAGAGCTCCTTTAAATGCCTAGGAGTTAAAGAATGGCCGTATACACAGCACTTCTTTGTAACCAGTCAGGAGCACAGTGCCCTGAACAGTATGAAAAGCTCAAGAAATAGTGGGCATAAATATTTACTTACTGATTTACCCACCAGCTGATGCTTGAAGATACCTGCTCATGCTTCTGTAAGTTCTTAAAAAGCATGAATTAAAACAGTCCAGTGCTCGGGCCCCAGCCCTGCGGTGAACTGTGAGTGTATAAGGCCCTGTCACAGCCCCATAAACACCTGACATATTGTATATTTGTTTATTACCTGTCTCTTCCCACTATAATAAAAACATCACAAGGACAGGGAATTTCTGTCTATTTGTTCACTACTATATTCCTAGTATCTAGAATGATGCCTGAGAAAGCTCTCAGTAATACCTGTTAAGTGAATGAATAGTCTCTGGCCAATGCTCTGTCACTTTTTTAAATCCTTGGGATAGAGTGATAGATAGAGGCAGTATAGCTGGGTTTAGTGGGGTGGGGTGGTGGGCTCTGTTTTCTTCTTTCCTCTTGCTTACAAAACACCATGCTCCACACCCCACTGACCCTTCAGACTGGATCCCAGACTGCAGACCCCAGCCCACCCACAGCCGGCATGTCATGTGAGTGGGAAATAGATGTGTATTATTGTAAGTGACTGAACTCCGGGAGTTATTCCTTCTTCAAACCTAATACACCAAGCACTGACTACTCGGGGGAGTAAGGATTAAGAGGAGGAAAGCTTAATAGAGAAACACTGTCTGCAAAACTAGAAAGGAAAGGAAGACAATGTTTCAAATCATAACTGAAGCAAATGGGAAAATGAGCACACTTGCAAAACTTAATTTATACACCATTCTCAGGAACATATCTTTCTATATATTCAACATGTCTATGTTTTCTTGGAATACTTTAATAACGTTAGAAACTCTAACCTTGAAATGAACTGAAGAAGGTTACAATGTTGGGATGTTGCATCTTAGCCAGAAGAATCACTTCTTTCTTTGAAGCTTCTTTTTCTTGGATGGGCATCTGGATTACATTGAGAGACAGCGCAGTCTGGTAAAGGTACCTTGCCTTCAGGAACATGCATCCTGCTTACTCCTACCTGAAATTCTCCAGGATGTCACTGTTTTGGGATTTTTTGTTTGTTTGTTTTTGTTTTTAGCTATACTGAGGTTTGAACTTAGGGCCTGATGCTTGATAGGGCCGCTCTACCACTTGAGCCACTCCACCAGCCCAAGATGGTTTTAATGACACTTCTAAAACTCATCTCTCGAGGGCAGGACATGACACCTCTACAATTAGTAGCGTGTCCCATATCTGCTCAGTGGTTGGTCAAAGATAATTACAATTAAGAAAATTAATACTGCCGGTGAACTTTCACTGTTTTAAAAGTTCCATGCTGGGGCTCAGCGTGTGCTCAGCTACTTGGGAGGATGAGGCAGGAGGATCGCTTGAACTGAGGGATTTTGAGACCGGCCTGGGAAACCCAATAAATAAATAAATTACAAATAAAATATAAATAAATAAATTCAAGATGGATTTGTGGTTATGATCAAGGCATCTAAAAGTTACTTTAATATCTTTCAGTGGCAAAGGAATTCTATATAAAATGCAACGTTCCAGCAGTAATCAATGCTGAGAAGAAATAAATGATACCTTTAAAAAAAAGAGAGAGAAAGTGTGTCACACACCACATAAATCAGACCAGTAAAATAATGTGTTAAGATCTCTGCATTTTTCACTTCTAAAAAAAAATTTTTGGATTGGGCATGACAGCACACACCTGACATCCCAGCACTCAGAAGGTGGAGGCTGGAGGATTATGAGTTTGAGGCCAGCTTGGGCTCCATAGCAAAGCCCCGTCTCAAAATAAATTCTCTTGTGACTTCATTTTAGGTTTGTATTTTAGTATTCTATTTATCATCTAAGGAAACACTTTTCAAGTGCTTTGGTGCCAACACCAATAGCCACACATCGTTTCTGCCTTTTCTTCTGTTTTCCACTCAGAGGCAGGATCTTGCTACGTAGCTCAGCTGGCCTGGAACTCACTATGTAGCCTAGGCTGGCCTCAGACCTCACACTCACAATTTCCCCACCTCAGTCTCCCCAGTGCTGGGATTGCCCTCCCAATTTGGTGCTGGGTATTGAACCCAGGGCCTTGCACATGCTCTGCTACTGAGGGTGCCACTACACCCAGCTTTTATTGACTGAGATGGGGTATCATTAATGTTTTTGCCTGGTTGACCTTGAAGCTCAATCCTCCCAATCTCAGCCTCCTGAGTAGCTACAGTTACTGGCCTTGTAGAGGAATTTTAAAGGATATTTTATGTGATAAGAGACGGATTTAATTTATTTTTATTTCCCTCTAAGTTGTCTTATTTTCTCCTTTGGTTCATCTCAAAATTTCTACAATGAACGTTTCTAATCTTTGAAGTTAAGAAAAGATACAGGATGCACTAGGGCCTGTATTTGATCACCAGCACTGCCAAAAAAGAAGGGAAGGAAGGAAGAAAGGAGGGAGGAAGGGAGGGAGGAAGGAAATACATTTTTGAAAAAAAATTTTTAAGATAATATTTAATAATGATAGGATAAGAGAAAAATATTAGTGTTTGGTACCTGTAAGAAAAAACTAAAAAACTAGCTAGCATTTGTTGCCCTTAACGCAGAGAAACTAAAGCAGATACCTTAAAGCAACTGAGGCCAATAGGAAAAGGGGAACAGGTACTAGAGAAAAGGTTAGATCAAAAAGAATTAACCTAGAAGGTAACACCCACGCACAGGAAATCAATGTGAGCCAATGCCCTGTATAGCTATCCTTATCTCAAGCAGCAAAAACCCTTGTTCCTTCCTATTATTGCTTATACTCTCTCTACAACAAAATTACAAATAAGGGCAAAATAGTTTCTGCTGGGTATTGAGGGGGGGGATAGAGGGAGGGGGCGGAGTGGGTGGTAAGGGAGGGGGTGGGGGCAGGGGGGAGAAATGAACCAAGCCTTGTATGCACATATGAAAAATAAAAGAAAAATGAAAAAAAAAAAAGAAAAAATTCTGAGGTCTAGATGTATTGAGTGGGGAGAGATTGGAGAGATGAAAGGAAATTAAAATTTCTCCAGGTAAGAAATAGGGAAAAGCCACATTGGAGTAGGAAGGCAGAATGACACAGATATAACAGGCAAATTTGCTAGCATAGAGACACGAGGCAGTGGGAATCATGAGATCTCCAATAGTGATCATTTATGGCATGAATACGGGGCTGTTTCAGAAGTAAGATGATGAAGAAATCAGTACTGAAGCTTGAGAGATGCTATAAAACAAATTGACATATATTTTTATAGAAGATCCATCTCTCAACCGGCTTCTTTTTATTTGGAATTAAACTGGTTTATAATGTATGTAGTATCTTAACAATAGAGCAAGAGGACCTTAAATTATCTATCCATTCAATCATTCTTCTGACAAAACTTTATTGATTACCTGCTGGGACAAAGCACTTTTATGTGCTGTGTAGAATATCAACAAGAATGAGGATAAACATAAAATACATAGTGAAAGCCCTGAATTCTTTTTAATTGTCTTTAACTGTACAAGCAAAAAGTGATTATCTATTGATGAATTTATTGGTGCTGGGGATTGAACCCAGGGTCTCGTACCTGCTAAGTACATGCCCTACTGCTGAGCTACACTCCCAGTCTGCAAAAGACATATTTTTGACTTGCTTTTCATTTCTCAGTTTATTAATGAGTTTGAAATTTTTGTTGATGATGCCTTCATTTAGGGATTTTAATTTTTTTATGGATTAATAACAGGCTAGCAACTTTTAGTCAATATTTGCAAATATTATTCACATTTTTTCAATTTTAAAAGCATTCATAGGGGCTGAGGTATAACTCAGGGGTAGAGTTTGTGCTCAGCACATGCAAGGTCCTATAATACCTAGGACTGATACACACAGAGTTTATATATATATATATATGTATATATATATATTTTTTTTAATTTTTTTTTGGCAGTGCTGGGGTTTGAACTCAGGGCCTCATGTTTGCTAGGCAACATGCAACCAGCCCTTTTTTGGTTGGGTATTTTTTGAGATAGGATCTCTTGAACCATTTGCCCAGGCTGACTTCAAACTGTGATCTTGATCTCTGCCTCCAGAGTAGCTAGGATTATAGGCAAGAGCCTCTGGCACTGGGTGACTTTTATATTTTTATGTAGTCACCTTCAACATCTTTTCCTTTATGACTTCTAGGGAAGGTTGGGTGCATGGCTGGAGTATTATCAGAATTGTATATATGAAAACTGGAGCAGGGAGAAAGCTACCAAAAGATCGAAGTGACAGGGCATTGATAAGGGAATGAAGTAATCACAAGGAAGAAAAGTCCACAATTGCAAGCATGAAGCCCTGAGTTCAAACTCCAGTCCTATTTTAAAAAAAAAAAAAAAAAAGGAAAGAAAAAGCATAGCATTTAGCAGGAAATTGGATTTGGAGTAAGAGCTTACAAACAACCCAAGGGTAGGAGTCCAGATTGTACAAGGACATCGATGTCATGAGCACAGCACAGCACACAGAAGTTTGTGCCTAGACCGATGAGGAATTCCTCCATTTTGGTACAACTGTAGCTAGCCTCCAAGATGGTATCAATGATCCTTGTCCTGAATTCTCTTTTTTTTTCTCATGGTAGAGATCAAACCCAAGGCCTCATGCATGCTAGGCAAACATACTGAGTATTGAGCTATACCCTCTACCCTGTCCTGAATTCTACTTTTTTTTTTGAGACAGGGTCTCACTAGGTAGCCGAGGCTGGCCTCAAACTAGAGATCCTCCTGCCTCAGTCTCCTGAATGCTGGGATTACAGGCATAAACCACCAAGTCCTGCCTATCCTGAATTCTTGATGTACAGAAACTGCAAGATAACAAATGTTTATAATTTAAGTCACTGAGTTTGGAGCACTATGTTACACAGCAGTAGGTTACTAACACAGGTAACTTAAAGATGTCTAATGCGCAGATGAAATGTGGAATGAGGAAGCTAGAAGACACCAGGGCTGGACAGGGTTTAAAGTGTGATCTGCTTAGCGGTTAACATGGATGTAAGGTGATGGCCAGGTGGCAGTGTGCACATGGGTCAGCAAAGGGCAGATGGAGGAAGATGAGGACACAGAGGCCACAGAAAGAGCAGTCAGATAAATGGAAAAGAATGAACAGAGCTGTGCCACAGAAGAAACTATGACAGGCCATTCTAGCACCCAATGAACACTATTGTCACAATATATTTTGAAACAAACACACAACTAGAAAGTGATATAAATACTGGCCAAGGTGAATTCAGCAAAAATTATTCCTTTTTCATTAAATATATCTGTTCTCCAAATCATTAGACTAACAATAACATGTGTCTTCCATCCTTCATTCACTGCATTCATCAAATTTTTTCCAGTACTTGTTATTTTCCTGGCACTGTTCTGAATGCTGAGGGAGACAGCATGCAGAAAATAAGAGCAAAGCCATTTCTGAACATTATAAACGCTATTAAGAAACTAAACTGGGGCCGGGCACCAGAGGTTCATACCTGGTAAACTAGTTACTTGGGAGTATAGCAGTTCGAGGCCAGTGCAGGCAAATAGTTTGAAAGATCCCCATCTTCCAAAAAATAAAAATAAAATAAAAACCAGAGCAAAATGGACTGGAGGTGTGGCTCAAGCAGTAGAGCATCTCCTTTGCAAACAAGAAGCCCTGAGTTCAAATCCAAGTTCTACCAAAATAGAAAAGAAACTGGGTGCTGCCTTAGCATGACTGAGGTTGGGAGCTGCATATCTAGATGTCTATGGAGGACCCCTGTAGAGGTGGTCTGGGAAAGGAGAGACAGGAAATGCACCACTCTAGAGCACCGGTAGAACAGCAGGCAAGGAGGGCCACATGTCACAGAGCCTCACTGACGATTGCCACAGAGTCCCAGAGATGTGATCTTAGTTTTTCCTTCCTTTTTCCTCCCCTTCTCTCTCTTCCCCTCCTTTCGTCCCTTCTTTTCTTTTTAAAAAATAAGAACATTGTTTGCTGTTTGGGCAATGGACTGAGAGTCTGAACCACTGTGAACTGAAACTTAAAATTCATAATTGTAAAAAAAAAGTGTCTTCCTCTCATAGGAAATTAAAAGCTAGTAAAATGCATCACTGAAAATTAACAAGAATTTGAACTTAAGTTTACCTTTGAAAAATTGATCTCTTTTATGACACAGGACTTGCTGTCAGATTTCCCTTTAGCCAAGTATGCTCTTCCGAAGGCTCCTTCCCCAATGACCTTAATCAGGTCAAATTTATCCATGATCTCCAGTGCTCAGGGGTTTCTGGAATTAGAATTATAAAATGCAACTGCATATTTCTCATGATGCCGGAAATGTTAAGGAACTCACTTGGTAAAACTTTCTTTCCAGCCTTCCGACACAGAGTGAAGTATCTTCCCTGTGGCCACAGGTAACAGCCAAGAGGAGAAGGGGCTTGTGGGTGGGCTCTAAGGTCACACTTGCAGCTCATCTTTGATTACAGTTTAGCATGGTGACCTTGGACGAGTCACTTAACCTCACAAAACCCCACTTTCTTAACTTCCAAAATGGAAAAATACTTGCGCTGCAAGTTTGTTCTGAGAAGGAAAGATACGGCATTCCCAGGGCTTGTCACCTCTAAACAAAGTCCTCATGCCCTCCGTGGGGAGGTACTGCCCCCTAGGGGGAGGTTTGGGAATTGATGCAGGGCTCTGGATTCTCCGTGCAGATTTAGAGGCATCCTAGTGTTTAGCAGTTCGGACCAGCTCCGCCACAACAAAGAACTATTCCACGGCCCCACAAGCTTGGAAAGTCTCCCTGTACATTTTTTTACGTGCGTGGAAGAATCCGTTCATGACAGTCCGCAGTGGACCCAAACTCTCTTTTAAACCCAGATATAAAGTTTAACTAGCACTGAATTTCCTAGGAATGCAGTTAAATGCAAATAAAGGCTTGGGTGCATTGTGGAACTTTTAACAAGCGTGGCGCACCGTTTTTGGAAAATCACGCCCTGGCTTGATCACGCGGCTGTCTGCGTTCGCCGCTGTCAAGTTCAGGTGTCTGCCCCGGCACGGGCACCTGGCTACTCCACGAATTCACGTGTAATAACACCAGGCATTTACAGAGGGAAATACATAGTTTATTACAAGGGGCTTTCCTTCTATTTCCTCTTTAAGCTTCAGTTAGGACAGAGCACGGGTTTTCCAAACTTAGCTGCGTAGACAGGGTGTTTCGAACAACCCCACCTCAGGATAGAAGGTGGGTAGGAATGCGTTGCCAGGGACACTGTGGACACCCGAAGCCCGGGCGGGTGCAGAATCGGGGCTCGAGGTAACCAGTTCGGTACCTGAGGGCGCACGACATTTCCACCTGGAAGCCCCCAGGCTTAGGAAAAATCCTTGTCCCTTAGGCCGCCCCTGTAGGCGGCAAACAGGTGCTGGGGCTCAGGAGCGCGGCGTCTCTCACGTTGCCATGGAGACCGACGCAGCCTAGGTTGCTAGGCAGCTCCGGGCTTGCCAGACTCCAGCCGCGGGGTCTCTTTCCCTCTCCCAGAGCGGACAAAGTGCAGCCCACCCGCGGCATACCTGCTCCGCGGGCTTCGGGGCGAGCGAAGCGTCCCAGGTGGTCCGCGCTCCCGGGTGATCCGCGCTCCGGGATGGATCCGCGTTCCTGGGTGATCCGCGCTCCCGGGTGGATCCGCACTCTCCGGTGATCCGCGCTCCCGCGCGCCAAGCCTCCCCGCGGCCGGGGCGGAGCAGCGCAGGGAAGACCCGTGTGGCGCCAGGCCAGAGCAGAGGGGACAGGTTCTCACCGTCCGCCCTGAAGACAGGTCACACACCCGGAAGTCGGGAGACCAGCAGCCCCGTCACTCACCCGCAGCCGTAGGTCGGGACTCCTCAGCATAACTGGCCAGCGGAGTATTGCTTCCCGCGCGTGTGGAGGAAGCGTGTTTGGTTGGTTGACTTTTGTCGCTGTGCCGGTGATGTGACGATGGAACCACCCCTCTGCGCGTGTGGGCTAGTGCGCCTCTCTGGGCTTCCCAGCGGGAAGGAGTTTCCTGGCAAGGTGTCAAATACTGCCGAGATGTACCCGTGACGCTGGGACCCCGTGCTACTCTTTTGGCCACCACCGCCCGCAGCCTCCTGTCCTCTTACAGAAGCGGCGGCTGTCGCGTGGTCTGCAAACCCTTTCCTGGCGGTGCTGGGAGCTGCAACCAAACCGTTTCACTGCCTGTTGAAGTAGATGAAAAGGATGTAGCTTTCAGCAACGGTCACAGTAAAGCATATCCCTACCCAGAGGAATCTAAGTACGACGGCCATTGTCCATGCAAAAAGAAAAAAAAAAAAAGAGCACTTCTTTAGGAATCAGAAAATGTACACCATTACTTTTGTCTCCTTGAAATCACTTCTCCATTCCACTTTCCTGACAGGATTTTTTCCCAGTGCAATCTTTTTCATGCTTGAAAGTCTTAATGATCGCTCTATCCTACAGCTCTGAACGACGCATAGAAGTAGAAATTAATTTATATTTCCTGGTCATAGGATCTTATTTTTTCTGGATTGAAATATTACTTTAATTAACTAGTAATTAAAATTACTAGCAGTACATAATAGATCAAAATAAAATATATCACAATATTGATACTTATTAAATATAACAATAAAATTATCTTAGAAATTCATCATTTACAGATTAGATGGGTTTCCCAGTTTCATTAGTTTTTTTTTTTTTCAAGCCTACTTTCTGGTTTTGTTTATTTTCTGTAAATTCTCTAAGGAGAGAATTTCTTTGCAGCTGGCTGTCTAATGAACTGTTCAAAACAAAAACTCTCAGTCTTTCTCCCCAAACCTTGCTTCATTTTCTTGTCATGGATTAAATGTAAACATCTAATTTATTCATTCAGCGTTTTTATGGTCTTTCCCCAAAATGAATGTAAGCTTTATGAAGGCAGAAGTTTTTGTTGGTTTAATTCACTGTTCTTGCAGATGTCTGCAAGAGTGCCTGGCTCATCATAAGTGCCGATGTTTGCTGAATAAATAAAGTCGCACTTTGCCAGCACTCTGGCAAGTGGCTGCACATGGTCAACACCAAACAAATGTCTGCTGAGAAAAACAAATGTGTTCTCACACTCTCTTGGAGACCACACATTTAAGGAATTGTTATTCACATCTGGAGGTGATATTTTATACAGGGAACCAAGCAAATAATAAAAGTGGTGAGTATTTGGCTCTTACCTTCGTTGCTATAAGGATAAATTATGAACCCACTTCACAGATGAGAAAGAAAAGTGCCAGGCATGGTGGTACACACCTGTAATCCTAGAACTCAGGAAGCTGAGGCAGGAGGATCATGAGTGTGAGGCCAGCCTGGGCTACACGGCAAGACCCTGTCTTTTTTTTTTGGTGGCACTGAGGTTTGAACCCAGGGTCTCATACTTGGTAGGCAGACACTGTACCACTTGAGCCACTCCACCAGTCCAAGACCCTGTCTTAAACAAAATAAAACAAAGAAAGCAAAAAGGCTTCAAGTTTTAAGACTTTTTCAAAGGAGGAACTTGCATTAAGTAGACTGCAATGTGTCAACTACATTTCAGAGTCCTGGGCAAAAATGTAAAAGCAAGGGACATTGAACAACAAGGTTCCAGGAAAATATGAGACAGAGATAGAGGATATAACATTTGGTCCAGCATGGAGAACCTTGGAGATAACTAGAGAGGAGGGCGCTATTGATGATTAGTGGGATGGGATCACCAGGGAGAGAATGTTGGTGGGGAGTGGGCATTGCAGAATGAGAGGTCTAGGTTGAATCAGGGCATCTGTGAGACCCAGAACAGCGTGAGATGGCACCATTCTGAGGACGCAGAGTCAGCTGTGAGGAGTCACTCAAAGCCATGTAGAATAGAATGAGTTAGGGCAGAGAGGCCTGGGCATGAGGGATTTTCAGGATAAAATATAGGATTCTAGAACCTTCTTGGGTGTAAAACAGCAGTACCTAGAATATTGGAAGTGGGTGGATATTTGGAGGGCTACAGGTCATTAGCTCTTGTAGCCCTAAATTAATACTAACTTCTTGCTAAAATAGTAAAGATTTGACATTGATTCTCTTCCATTTTTCTTTTTTGAGACAGGGTTTCACTATGTAGCCCAAGCTGGTCTCAAACTCACTATGTACCTGACACTGGCCTTGATCCTCAATCCTCCAGACTCAGTTACTGCTGGGATTACAGGTGTGACCCACTATGCCCAGCTTTAAAAAAAAAAAAGATATAAGGGCTAGTAAATCTCATCCAAGGAAATAGGAATGGAAATTTTGCTAAAAAGCATCTCTCGATTTTTGCCTCGTTGTATGACAAGAATCATATAGTAATCTATCACCAAAAACTTTATAATTATCAGATGATAATTCCATTAGAGTCTCCTGAAACAGTATCAAAAGTAAAACCTTGCAAATCTTTTTTTTTTTTTTTTTTTTTTTTGTTCTGGGGATTGAATTCAGGGCCTTGCACTGAATCATCTGATTTTGAAAAGGATTTATAAACCAAGACTCATCCAACCTCTCAATAAATATAAATACATAACTTCAAGTTCCTTTTGTTTGATGCTTTGGAAATGTTTATGCCCTGAGGCAATGCTAAGATTTGAGATGACTAAGAGGCATAGGAATATAATAATAAAATATAATTTAATTAATATATCACATAATAATATAACTGGAAGTTGAATATCTGGAAATGCTCTTATAACTATCCATGCCTGCTTTTACATGAAAAATCTTCAGCAGAGTGGTGAGACTAACTTACATAATTTTGGAAAATGATCATTTGACCAGGAACTGTGAAGCAGACAATAGGAGTGATACACAAAGTCTACCTTCATGGATAAATTTGTTTCTCATAGGGTATAGGTTAACCATTTAGAAACTGGTTTACATGTTTACTTGGCATTGGCAACTTAGCAGATGGTTTCTCACTTTGAGGGAGAGAAGATATGGGGAAGCAAGGGAGAGGGGCTAGAATGAAACTTGTGGTCCTGGATAGTCAGAGACATCAGTACGAACCCATGCTTAGCCTCAACAAATACAGAGAGATACAGAAATCATATGGAGATGTGTGGATTTGTATTCACAGAGAATGCCTGGAAGGAGTGATACCCTGGTAGCCACAAGCACATCCAGCACCCAGATCTTGCTTTCTAAACCAAAGAAAGAAACCAGGGCTTCCTGGAGAAAATGGCTGATTTGAGGTTGACTGGATCTTTTTAATTCTAATGGTACTGAGGTTTGAACTCATGGCCTCACACTTGCTAGGCAGGTGGTCTACCAGTTGAGGCATACCCCCACCTCTGGGCTATCTTATAGTGCCAGAAGTTAAGGAAGGATGGGGGCGGGCCAAAGGCTCACAGGAGTCAACGTGAAACAACTTTGAATGGTCAAAGGTAGAATAATTCAAACAACAAAACAAATGGTTAGTATTGGATTATGCTCCACCGTGACAGAATTTAGTGACTATGGGGTATACAGCATGGAAATGGAAAGTTGTAACTTTACAGTGGAGCGCCTGGCAGGTACTGCCTTAACCAAGTGATCATGGGGAGCGGTACCTGTAGTAAGTCATGGTGATGTCATGCAGTCCCTGACATGGCATGATGACAAGAGCTTCACCTTTGTGGTGCTCTTCCCAAAACCCACAACCCCACTGAAATCATGAGGAAAACATCAAACACTCAAATTGAGGATGACCTTCGAAACAACCAGTACTCTCAAAAATGCCAAGGTCCTCAAAAGCAAAGAAAGATCAAAGACTGCCAGAAAAGACCAATGAGGACTGCATGTTTAAGGAAAGAAGCATATGTGGGGGGTGGGGGTCTATACCACCATTTTTGCATGTTCAGATAAAGGATTGTTAGAATGTTAAAAGATGTGCACATTCCGGATTCCAGCAGGTCCTTGTTAACGACCCCACTGTATTTCCCCTCACTCTTCACTTCAGCATTGTTCTCCATACTGGATCAGGAGCAGCCTGTTTCCTCTGCAAAATATTCTCACCTCACTAAAGCATCGCAGCATTAAATGAAGTAACACACGACAGAACCCAGCCTGTGAGGGTCATGGGAACCCATACATGCTAGGACTCCCTCTAATTCAGTCAACAAGTTCCTGATACCTGCCATGTCTACCTTTCTCATGTACAGCACTGCCATCTTCTGGCACAATCTTGAGCGCACCCACTCTTCCTATAGCTGCTCCTCTGACCTGGGCTCTTTGGTGCGTCCTGTGAGGGACTATATTTAAAGATAGTTTGTAGTTGGTGAAACAATCTTGAACTACATAGAACTAGGTCTTACTGGAAAAAAAACGCACACATAATTACATTATAGTTAATATATTTAGATCCCCAAACCTTTAAGAATTGTAAAACATGTTACATAGTAATAATCACAAATCATAGCGATATGAATAACGATGTGTGGGCTGCTGTGATTGTCGATGGTCAGTGTCCCTATGAGGTAGGCGTTATTCTCCTCACTTCACAGTTGAGAACATTAGGACTCAAAGAAGTTAGGAAACTTCCTATAATCACACAGTTAGTAGTAGAGGTTAGTAGTTGTCCTCGTAGTTAGTAGTAGAAGCTACAAGCAATCTGTAGGAATGTGAAGCACCTCTGCTACATCCTTCTTACTTGTGTTCAAAAAATTCACAGGAGTGCTAGATTTTTGTATACTGTGATAGTCAGTATCACAGTCAGAACAATTTTAAATATTGACATTTTGTTTCCAAACATCAATTCCTAATGTGAAATATCTCCTCCAGGTGACTCAGGCACAGTCCCTTGGGAGTCATCCATTACACAGATCCTGCCACCCGGCTCGCTTCTTCAGTTCTGACACCCAGTCGTGGTTTTCGTTATCTTCCTCAAAGTCCCTGTGAAAACACAGTTTGAATGATACACCTCTATGTTGTTATAGGTATGGCTGCATTTGTTGATGGATTCAAAGCAGAATACTACCATACAATATTATATACATAAAATTTTTATTGATCTATTTTTTTATGGTACAGGAGTTTGAACTCATGGCCTCATGCTTGCTAGGCAGTTGCTCTATTACTTGAGCACAGCCCTAGCCCCTTTTTTCTTTCTTTCCTTTTTTTTTTTTTTTGTGATACTGGGGATTCAATTCAGGGTCTCACACTTGCTAGGCAAAGTGCTCTACCACTTGAACCCCCCACCCCCACCAGCCCATTTGTTTTCCTTTTATATTTGAGGTAGGGTCTCCCTAACTTTGCCCAGGCTAGTTTCACACTCTCAATCCTCTTGCCTCTGCCTCCAGTAGAATATTTTAATATTTGAAAATTTAAATATTGAAATATTGAATTAAATATTGAAAATTTAAATTTTGAAGAATGAGTTCCATAGGCAATTGAACTGAGAAATAA